CAATTTCGTCACGTTTCTGGGTTTTACTTCAAATACCATTTCGGCCAATTGCTCCTTCCGCCTCCCTGAGCTGCCGCCATCTGCCCTGTGCCCTGTGTCCTGTGTCTTGTGTCCTGGGCCCTCTGCCATGTGCCGTTGTGTGTGGCTTCCATTGGAAAAACTGGTTCTCCTCTCAAAGGTACAGCTACAGCTCCAACTACAGCTTCAGTTAATTTTATTGAAACTGGTTTGGGGTTCCGTTCTCCAATGCTTACCTCTGACCATGCGTTTGGATTGTGGTTGTGCTTGTGCGGCACGACCACGTTGTCAAGGACACATTGGCATTGGCCTAGCCAGGCTTTGGGTTTTGCATTGCACTGAATCCACTGAATGCCAATGTGCCCGGAGTCTACTGGTCGCCACGGGCTGTGGGCTGCGGGCTCCAAGCTGCGGGCTCCGAGCTCCAAGCTCCGAGCTCCGAGTTCCGAGCTGGCTGGAATTATCGACAGTAAATCACTGAACCGCAGTTGCCGTCCGAGAAGACAGGCGCAACTACACACTACAGTCGGGCACTGCGACTATGGGGCCGCCCACCTACTTGGATAGAGAGGAGAGTTCTGCCCAGATTTCTGCGACTGTACAGATGGATAGATAGTCCCTTCTGCCTGTCACAAACATACCCTCGAAGCCCAGCTGCCCTGCTATGCTCTGCCTTGAACAGGTATACGCGTACACGGAGTCCAAGCCAAGCCAAAGCCCGAGCCTTACAGTTGATTAGAAATCGCATTCGCAATGGCATTAGCTACCCGTTTGGTCAATTGAATCGGATTCGATTGCGTGAACAGTCGATTGCCAACAGATGTCGACTTCGACTTCGGTCTTGAACTCCACGTCGTATGCGTATGTATACCTCTCCATTTCTCAGGATTTCTGATTTTAATGGAGTGTAGAACGTCGAGAGTTTGCGCCCTTTTAATGCGGGTTCTACTGTCATAAAGAACAAGTACGAACATTACATAAAATCAAACAAAACAAAACAAAATCTCTGCAAAAAGGCAACTTTATAATTCGCATCAAACACCCAAACACCCACACGCAAGCATCCGACAGATACGAGTGCTGAGATACAGACACAGAGATACTGAGATACTAAATACAAGAAGCAACGATGGCAACGCGACAAACTTTGCCAAAATATGAGATTTGCATAGCTAAGAAGCCAGAGGAGGCAGCTAGGGGCTAAGGGCAGCCAAGGGCAGGGCCAGCAGAGGAGGCAGCCAGAGAATAGGGGACTCCACTTGTGGCTGGTCTCGTCCTTTCGGGGGTGTGTGTATCTTTTGGGCTGCTGTGTGGATGCCTCTTTCGGGGGGCGACGACATCAAATCGAGCCATTGAACGAACGGGTTGGGATGTTGACGGCAACGGAAGTCGACTTCATACAAATTTGATCACTGATTCGATGGATTCAACTTGAGTATTCACTGTATGTCACAGCACACAGCCACTCTTCTTATCTGTTTGTGCCTTGATTCATTTTTAAACAGCCTGGTACTAACATCCTTCTGTGTGCCTTGCAGGGGAAGTTCTGAATTCAGTCTCAACTAGTAAGTTTCATCCATATTTTCCTATTTACTGATGAGTTCCCAATCCTCCATCCCTCCAATTGGTTAATTCTCCTCCAGGCCTTCGGATAACTTGGGAGTTTACACCAAAATGAATCAAAATATGCAAAATAGCTTATAGCTAATAATTTCCCTTAACAATTTGGCACAAGGCCCGGGAACAGGTAATGAGAATGGAGCGGAGTATGGGGTATGGGGTATGGGGTATGGGGTATGGGGTATGGGTACTCATCTGGCAGCCAGCTCACGTGCCGTATTCGAGCTTGGTTCATTGTCCATTCTGGCAGCAAAGGCGAAGGAAACAAAAAAAACAAGTAAACGAAGGGACACCCAATACAGCCCAAACCAATCCAAGCCGTACTGAGCCGATGCCGAAGCCGGAGCCCAGTTAATGATATTATTAAGGCTGAGGCAAGAGCATATCCTTGGATTTTTGCAACAACAGAAATCTCCACAATAGGAAAAGGAAAGTAAAGGAACGGGACGTCATGGGAGTGGGATGTTAATTATGCTGTCAAATCTCTTAGAAAGTCAGGATATGCTCGTGAATACCTTCCCCGTCCCCGTCCCCGTCCCCGTCCCCGTCCTCTATGCCATTCATATCCAAATCCCTGACGCTGGCCCAGGCCCTATCCCATCTCCTGGCTGTTATTCCTTGAAAAATTGATGCTCGTAAAGTCAACAAGGGCTAGACACTGACACCAGCCCCGGTTACCAAGCGATACCCAAAGCAGCTGCTCCCTGTCTCCCATTCCTGTCGACACCCTGCCAACGGTCCCTGGTTACTGGCTACTGACTGGCTAACCCTTTGGGACAACTTGTCATTGTTCAACCATTTGTTAGCACAATTCATGGGGCAGCTGCAATCTTGAAGCAGCAGCTGGTGCGTATATCACCGCATGCATCACTGACAAACTTCACTGAAAGGAAGACTTCAGTACGAATCCGTGTCCGTGTCCGTGTCCGAGTCCGAGTCCGTCTTCTACTGCTACTCCTATGTACATCTGCTTTGCAATTTGTGACGTGCCACTTGAGGTCGCAAGCCTTTTCTGTTCACCAATTAGGCATTTAATCAAAGCCAAACAATCCCACCACAAAATGTCAATTGCAGGATTCAATCTGGAGCTGAGGCTGACTCCGAGGCGTTGCTGATGATTGAGTGGAGACCTTGAATCTCTGCAGAGGTCAAGATCATAGCCACAAATGCTATGCTATGCAAAGTGCACAAGTTTCAAGCCGGAAAGTTTGCTTAAAGTTCGACTTAAAGTGCCCCAAGATGAATATCTTAGTCGAAAACGGGGCTCAGCCCTGTTTCAGCAGTGAATTAAGGCCAGAAATACGAGAAAAAACTTGAGAGGAAACTCCGGTTCAGGAACAGCATTCAAAAGAATAGATTCAAGGTAGCTACAAGGATTGCGATGCCTTCTTGAAATACCTCAATGCTTGAACAACTTTCAGAGTTGAGAGCTACTTGTTGGAGTGTAAGCCAGAGGTCATAGGTCGACAAGTGCAATGGACAAAGACAAAGATCCCATTAGGGATCCATTAAAGATTAAATCGCTTTACAACTCCTACTCCGAAGATGCACAGATTTACCCCTAGCATCATTACCAACAGCATCATTAGATGGCCGTACTATCTGGCCTTAACCCACAGCTAAGCCAATTATTTAAGCCAGAATGAAAGGAGTGCGACTGAGGAGGTCGGTTGGCTGGTGTTGGTTGACTAATTGGGTCATAATTAGCTACAAACTGGGGAAGCGTTTCGCTGTCAACAATGTTGCCGGATACTCGTAAGATGCGGCTTCAAAAGGTAGGCAACCCGACTTATCGCGAATTTTCCTGAGTGTCTGAGCCAGTATGCAAGAGTTTATGAGTGTCGTGTCGGAGCCTGTTTGAGTAAGTTTCCTTCTCTGTGTGTGTGTGTGTGTGTGTGTGTGTGTATGTGTGTGCGTGTCGATGCCGCAAAGCCTTTCGTCTGAATCTGCACTGCCTCATCTTCTGCTTAATTGCTGGGGAGCATAATTAACTGGGCTTAGATGCCAGTGCCAAGTGCCAAGTGCCTGCTGTCAGTGCCTGTTGCCGTTGGTATAATATTCGCTAATCTCATCTATATATAGAAGCCTCCTCCACCGACACCGCCAAGAAGGAGGCCCACTTCAGCAGCACAATATGTTCGCGGCAGAGACACTTCAGTTTCCAAAGGTTTTATTCATGTAAAGTTCAGGTAAAGAGTGGCTGGGAGTTTCGATTCAAATCTGAAGAATCTGAATGGGATTCATAACCCAAGTTCCTCCGTTCAGAGATTTGATCTGCTGTCCAATGTATCTATGAATATAATCTTAAGATTTTGTCCCAATTTCAAAATAATTGATGGTTAAATTAAATCTTAAATGTCGCACAGTAAATCATTGAATGGAAAACACAAAATTGATACCTTATGAAATCCCACGCACATCATTGTTCAGATAGTTGGGCAGTTCGCGCAGATATTGAGGATTATAATTATTATTGATTACAGATAGATTATAAAAAAAAAGATATATATTCATATATATATGTATGGCTATAGATATATACATAGGTATAGTTATGTACCATGTATTATTTAATTTAAGTTAATTTTGCTATCGAATAAGGTCTATGCATAATTATGTATAATCACAACACCGATACGAGGTTTGGGAATTTAGTTGGGGGTACAAGCTGTCAGAGGATCGAGAACCAGAGGGGATCAGTAGATTGTAGATAGACAGAGTAGACACACTATACGTATGGGGAAATGGGAGCAGGGAGTATACGAGTACGAGTAGTTCCATAGCAAATCAATATATCAATCAATACTTTTTATCATAGAGCCTTAAAGATACGTTCCGCCAAGATGGAAGGCAAGGGAGCAAAGGAGGGTGGGGAATATACTATGGTATATGGGATGGTACAGTGTCTTCAAGGCGAGTTACACCGGGAGCCCAAGGAGGCAATCTTGCCTGGCTGCATGCATGCTTGGTGGCTCGGGGGAACGGGAACTGATGGTTGGATGGATGGATGGATGGATGGATGGATGGGTTATGCTCCAAACACTTAAAGGTACACATACGCATGCTATGGTAATTAGGCTGATTTAATTTTGGGCCTAACCAGGTCGGGTCAGACTAGGCTGGGCCCGTTTGCCCGATGGCTGGTTCGCTGCCATCTTGGCCCACCTTCGGCAGAGGCTCTCTCGACTCTTGACTCTTGACTCTTCTTGTTCTTTGACATCGCATGCCCAATTAGCTAATGGATATTGACAGGGACATACGGTGCATACGGGACAAAGGGGGCATAGGGGACACACAGGACACGGTGAAACTTGGCGGGATGGAGGCTATAGGGATGTTGATACCCACATGGGTCGACTGACTCACCTGTCGCCGTGCGATGATTCCCTGTCGCGATCCACATCCCCACCTTGCTCCGGATCCCGGTGTACCACCACCAAGGACGGAGCTGCAACAGCCACTCCTACCTCGGTTGCCGTGGCTCCTCCGTCGGCATCTGCGGCTCCTCCGTGGGCTCCTGCGGTTCCTCCGTCGGCACCTGCGGCTCCATTGTCGCCGCCTGCAGCTCCTCCGTCGGCACCTGCAGCGTCCTCGGCTCCTGCATCTGTTCCAGCGGCTCCGGCGTCTCCGGCGTCTCCGGCGTCTCCGGCGTCACCAGCGGCCCCGTCGCCGGCTCTGAAGCTGCAGCTGGCCACCTGGGCATCCTCGTTGAGGGTCACGGCCACAGAAGTTTCGATCTTCTTGTCCTGATACTTGTCCGACATCCTTCTACTCAACCCCAATAGGTGGCTTCTTCTTGTCTGAGAGTTCGAGTTCCTTGGCAGTTCGCTTTGCGGGCGAGTGAGTTTCCTGCCTGGCCAGGACATAGGACATAGCACGACACATGACAGAAGAGATGGCATGAGATGAGAACAGTCGAACAATTCCCAAAGTGCTGTAATTGTTTTTTAACATGCATACAGCCTCCAGCCTCCCTTTGTGCCGAGGCTCCCACCAAAGACAGGCCCCAAACAGAAAAGCAGAAAAGCTTAAAAACAGAAACCGAGACAGAAGCAAGCGAAAACGAAAAGAAAAAAACAGGGAAAATGTAATGTAAATTAATTGCCGTGTGGCTGGTGGAAAGCGGCTTAGTACTTAGTGCCCCTGCTCCCCTGCTCCCCTGCTCTCCTGCTCCCCCGTTTGAGTTTGGGCCTTTGCCTCCTTTTATTGCTTTTGCGCTAAATTAGCCGCAATATTTGGGAGACCATCGCAGGTGGGAGATGGGAGGTAGGAAACTTTGATAACTTTTCAAGGCAGAATAATGTGGGAGTGTGTGGTAGAGGAACTTTCGACTCGACCTTCTTTTGTTCTGCGTGTCTCCCTGGGTCTGGGTCGGGTCACTGGGGTGTTGGAATCACTCTCTAATTGGGTGTGAAATCAGAACGGTGCCCCCAGGGATACCGGCAATAGAGTTACTGATGGCTAATGGAATCAGGCCCAAATCGGCATAAGAGTCGGCTCTCATTGCCCTTACAATTCGTATGCAACTCAGTTTTCCATTAAATGAAATTAAGCTGAAACGGTTTTTTATTTACATATGAAAAGATATGCAGTTATAGGATTTGTCAGCCGAGTGCCTTGCCAATGAAATGCATTATAAAAAATTGCACTCGCACTAACTGAATCAGATGCTTATCAGCTGCAATTAATGTACAGATAGGGCTGTTAAAAGGCTCAGCCATCCCCAAATATTTGGCCCTTTGGCCCATCCATGGCCAAGTGCTAAGCTGCTGACGAGGGCGGACAGGCGGGGATTAAATCAGCACAGAACAGAACAGAACAGAGCAGGGCCGACAATTGATCAATTGCAGGAGATTAGCGCCACCACCGCCACCGTCCATGTGTCACCTCGACGAAATGCAAGTAATTAAAAAATAATACAATTTTAATGGCCAGACCGACGGACCAAGAATCGCAACTCATTTATGTTCCTGTCTGTTAGCGGGCTAACAGGCTGATGTCCGATGGCTGATGGCTGAAAGTGGCAGCGATTAGATTAGAGTGTGGAAGCAGTTAGTCATGGTCGCTAATGAACTACTTTTGGCCGTAATTGGCCAAACAATGCCCGCCCGCCAGCCAGCCAGCCAGCCAGCCAGCCGATAAATAGGCAACACTTGATGGACGCAATGTGGATCTGCACATGGCTGGCTGGCTGCCACCTCAAAGCCCCCTGACCACAGACACTGACAGAGATATATGGAAGTAGCATGGGGCTGGGGGTTGAAAATATAAATGAAAATTTTCACAGCATTTGCATATGAATGATTCACACGGGCCATGCATAACAAAGGTCTGCGCGGGATGGCTGGTCTGCGACTGTTTGCCCCATAATAAATAAAGGATGAACGGAGTCCAGCCTCCTTCCATCTGCCTGTGGTGCCGAAAAAGGTGCCATGGCGGAAAGGAAGCAGGAAAACAGCAGCAGCAGGTCCTTTCTTACACCGGGGAAATAGTAGCAAAACATTGTCGCTACAACCACGGCACCCCCCCCCCCATTACCCTGTCCAACACCCCTACACCCCTACACCCCCCCACACCCCACACATGCTCATCAAATATGAAAAGGCAACGAAAATTAACCCGAAAAGAACGGGAAAACCAGAAAAAAGAAGTGAGAGAACAAGGAAAACCAAGAAAAGCGAAGCCAAACCCGAACCCAAATGGAATGAAATTTTTTGCCTAGGTCAGCATAAGCGGCAATCGCTTCGAAAGCACAAAAAAGAGATGGCTTTATAATAGATATGTATAAAGCAGGGGACGGAACGGAACGGAACGGACTGGACTGGACTGGACTGGCGGAGCCCCAAGGCCTCGAAGAGATACCTGACCTCTGGCCTCTGGCCTGAGCCCCTGCTCGATTTCCACATTCTTAAAGTTTCATTGTTTTTTTTTGTTGTTGTTCGTTCTTTTTTTTTTTTGTTCTTTGTTTCAGTCAAAAACCATAAAGTTTTCTCAGCACGCACGCACTTTCAAACAATAAAAAAAATATGCCAAAAAAAGTTACAGTGTACAGAACATGATTCCAAACCTCTTAGTCGGTGGATTTGTTTGGGCACTTGTCAATATTCTTCGATCTGCGATCTTCGTTCGTCGCGATTTCTCCGCTGTTGGACTCGGTCCGATATCGATACAGACGGGTTTCTTTTCAATGACGTTGTCGTTGTCGTTGTCGTTGTCGTTGGCGTTGGCGTTGGCTTTTGGCGGCTGCCTCACTGGGACTCTGAATCTGAACGTGGAACTCCGGTGGTTGCTGGCGAATGCTTGTTGGTTGCTGATGATATTGTTGCCTCGCTGGGTGCTGTTCGGTTTACGGCAAACGTAACCGACAAGTGCTGAACAGGAACTGAAGTCTCTGGGCTGGAGGACGCGTTATTTTAAATCGACCACGGCTCTGTGTGCTGTACCGACGTACCGACTGTTGCTTCCCCGCGTCGCTGCCAGCTGTTGAATCGAGTCGCCTCTCCGAACTGTTGGCGCACCGCCGTCGTCGCTCCGAAAGCTTTTCGGAGAAAGCTCTGCCAAGGGCATCTACAGCACGCTGTTAGCGCACTGTTAGGGCTCTGTTAGGGGCTCTGACGGACCCCTAGCGTCTCACGGAATCAACCCCTCAACATCCTCAACATCCTCAACACCCTCATCCTCCCCAATGCTGATGTGCCTTTGCATCTAATCCCCAAGTCTCACAACATGCCTTTTGTGTGCTACAATCGTAATCGTTTGATATTTTAAATAACTGAAATTATAACATTTAAGATACACTATCCTGCAATCCGGCATATGTTGTGCTATGCATTTTCACCCAAGAATAATTACAAGTATTTTCTTGAATTACGCACATATTTTATTTCAAATGTTATTCCTCGAATAATTCTAGGAGGGCAGAGCTCTCAAGGAGAGTCCAGTACAAATGATGTTTCCCCGATGCATATTCTATGACGTTTTCCCAGGAAAACGGCATTGCAATTCAATAAATTTATGTTCTACGAAAATGTGTGTCTTTTTACTCAGTTGCAGAGTCTCTGTTCAATGGACATTGAAGATGGTGGATTGGATTGGAACATTAATCCAATTTGCGTTCTTTCCAATCCACTTTTCCATCTGAGAAGCACTGCTTTTGCAGGGATTTTCCAGTTACAAAAGGGGTAATGAAGCCAATCGCACTGAATCCAACCTTGAACTTGACACACTGGGCGGCACACTTGTTTCCTTGGTTCTTTGGCCCTTGTTAAAGAACTTCCTGCTGGCAGGCAGTCGGCCTCCTCTGAAGCGTCACATGACCAACAAGTGGAGTGGCAAGGAAAAAAGGCAGCAGCCGACCCAAAAAAGGACACTGAAGGGCAGACAGTTGCATGCGAGACGGGGAAAGTAATTACACAGCCCACGGGCCAGCCCAGTCCTCTCCTCTCCTCTCCTTTCCACTCCAGTCCCCCCTGGCGTCAGTTACCTGTGCACAAGCCACGGCTTTAACTGGAAAACCTTGGAGAATCTGTCAAAGCGAAGGCTTTAAAGTGGCGCCCGAGGACGCTCTTTGGAATCACCTGAAATTCATACCAGAATGAGGTGCAGCCTTGGGGGGGGGGGTAGAGGTTCTGCTAAACAAACGAGATTTTGTATGCCACGGCCCCTTTGGCGTTGCCAAGGAAGCCATTTCAATCGGATCTGCCTTGAGACTGCCATTTCTAACCAAGTGCAATACAAAAGAAGCACAAAAGGAGCAGCGGTCGCCGAGGGGTGCCAGCATTTGGGTGCAGCTGGAGATAGGTCTTTGGGTCTGGCTCTCTGGCTCCATGGCTGCATGGCTCCATGGCTCTGTGGCGCTCCTTTGTCCGGGATCTGGCTGCCATGGTGGCTGCGTATGCTTGATAATTCCGCTTGCAGTGTTGTGAGGTCTAGTGCCATAAATATTTTGGCTGGCAATAAATCATCATCATTGACAACGGCCGCTGCTACGCCTCAGTCTCCGTCTCCGTCCCTCAACGTCACCGGCTGCGGATACGGCTACTCGACCTCGTCCACCTCTTAGAACTCCGGCCGAACGGCGTTAAAAGTGAAAACACATAAACGTTGATGCCTTCCATTGTACTTACTCGATTTATACCCTCACAGAAGGTACTTCCAGTTTGACCAGACACTTGCAGTCCCTCTTCTGTTTCGTTTTGTAAAACCGGAAACAATGGATCTGCATGGGTACGAAAAGCCCCGGACCCGTAAGCCAATCTTCTTTTTCTGGCTTTACAAGGCGCTGGTGCTGGCGGAACCACCTAGCATGTCCGTATTCGTGTCCGTGTCTGTGTCCGGCACTGGAACATCTCCACTCCAGCTGCTGCTGCGTTATGGTCGTGGTCGTTAAGCTCTTACGTTACTTTGTTTCCCTTCTTTGTCACGAGTTTATGTAGTTCCTACCCCTTCCACTTCTCCACACTGCTTCACACTCATTTGAACTCATCTCAGTCTCGTACCTATTCATGAGAGTGTCCCCGCATTCGCCTCTAAATGCTGAACGGATTGGGGATGGCACTGGCTGGCATTAGGACCCTCATGACAACACATCGCAACAAAGTTGAAAGCAGCACTTCTCTCAGCTGGTAAAGAGATTTCTTTCCAATAACAACAAATAATTTACCATACGCTGTAATCATTAAAACGGCAACACTGGTACCTACCATATAGTCCTGCGAGGATACGTCCAGGTAAGGCCAGGCACCAATGCAAAGCTACTCGCTGACCCAGCATTCGGTTGGGCAATAGCCAATGCATAAATTGAGTATTTTTTTGCTTCTACATCATTTCTAATGGGGCAGCTCTCTCTATTACCGAATGCTGTCAAGGGAATTGCTTTGGCTCATCTTTGAGACCAGCAGTAGATCGGATCTCTTTGCGATGCTTTTGCCATCGTCTGCATAACTACGGACCCTCCCAGCCCAGGTTGCTATTTGCACCACCCCCTTGCCTGTTTTTCCAGCTATGTTTTTCAAGTTGTTTTCCAGCAGCCCAGGGACTCGTGGACATAATTAGGCCTGCTGATGAACGATGCTTTCGTTTTCCCCCGCAGATCTTTTACTTAAAGTTCAAAGATAATACTAGTCTGGTATCGGACAAACCGAAAAAAATCCCTACTTCCATTCAGGCTTATCTTGGAATTAATTCTAGTCAATGGCTAGGAGGCCTTAAGGCGCTTCTGAAAACTAAATGACATTTCTGTTGAGTATAGCAAATTTTCCATAGGTCTGTGAAAAATCACAGCTTCAGATGTCACAGAAGCAGTACATCTGGAATCTAATGGAATAGGATGTGGTTGATATACACAAGTGGATTTGCGTCGCTCCGTTGAGGTGTACTGTCGTCAATATTTTCTGTCGAAGCGTAGATACAAAACGCATGAGCGTGGGGGAGGCGAGCGTGGGAGAGCGAACGCCAGATTCAACAAGGCCTGATGCAATCGCATGTCAAGTTCCATTATCTGCATCTGTATCTGTCCCTGCCTTGTGCCTGCACTCGTACGTATACGTGATGCCCTTTCAATTTGTCGCTGCTGTTGTTTTACCCTTTGTCTCTCTCTCTCTCTCTCTCAGCAACAGAAACCTATTTACACTTGTTGTCGCATGCATTAATTGGTCATAGCAGCGGCAAATAAAGTAAAAAAGGATGGAGACCGGCCAGCGTGTGGGACGGTGGTGCGTCAATCCATCGTGTGCAATGTGGGGGAGGCTGCGCTGCGAAGGGTTATCCGTCGAGATGGTTATTTATAGCTCTCTAATTGAGTGAAAGACAGTTGAAAAGTGTTGACACCATGCCCTACGCTATGCCTTCCGATACACAGCTCCAAAGTGTCCCTGAACTGTTGCCAAAACTGTCCAAAACTTTCCCAGCAGGGGAAAAGGGAATGTTGCACTTGAAGACAGCAGAGATTTAAGCATTTAAGAGAGACCCCCAAACCCCCATTTTGATGGTATTTTGCATACAATTCCAATTCAATAATTAAATATTTCATTTCGAATTGGCCAAAGACAGCAAGAATGTCCCATCTCCTTTTATTCTTTTATTCTTTTATTCGAGATATTGCAGGATGTAAGTCATAATTGTAAGTACGCGTATGTCTGTAAGGGCTTTCCCAGAGTCGGTACTCGTATAACGCTCTATTTTATTGTTGTTGTTTTGTTTTTCCATCTGTTGCTCTTGTTTGCGCTACTCCAGCACTTTATTTATTCCGAATTCCCCAAATCCCAGGGCGAGAGTGTGGCACAAAGCACCGGAACAGAGGGGCATGCAGCAGCCCGGAGGGGGGGGTGCTACCGTACCGTGCGAGATACGGATGTACATCTGTCAACTAATATTTTATTTTTTTGCTGGGGCAAGAGTTAAGTTAACAGTTACTCGCTTTGCCGCTTTGCTGCTGTGCTGCTTTCCTTGTTCGCGTTACGATGCAATAAATCATGACCAGGACCAGCAGCAAGGACATCTCAATCCCGCTTACATCCCCTTTTCTCCGACTCACAGAATTCGAGCGTACATATGTATTGTGTGTGTGTGTGTGCATGGAGAGATGGGGGGGGGAGTAGACCAGAGGAACTGGGAGATGGAGTGAGATGCGTATAAATAAATTCAATTTGGCAATACAGAACAGAAACGGGGGCAGGCAAGAGTCGAAAATCAAACCCAAAAATACCATCAACATTTTGCTGGAAAACTGCATTCGCTGATCCCCAGAAAAATGTAAATATTTAAATCTATAGGTAGTACCAGAAACTCCTCCTCCTTGAATGAAACCTCAAATCAAAGCAGTAGGCCCATTTCACTTGCTTTTCATCCACGTACACAAAAAAGTCATAAGTCAATTTTTGTCACACTGACAGAGACTTACAGATTGACAGCAGAGCAACAATTGCAGGACGTGTAATAAGCCCATGGAAACCCTCAAGGAACGAAAAGGGAAAGGTTCAGCAATGGGCGACGGTGAGATTTGTAAGTCAGTAGCAGAGGTGCTAGGCGGGCAGGTCTCGGCCCACGATCAGGACTCGTCGAAACGTATTGACGGCAGAGCCGGGGCAGCAGGGGAAACACCGCAGGATCAGGGCGACACCCCCACCGTGATCAAGACGAAGGAAGACAGCGTCGTCGTGGATGTGGATCCTTGTAAGGCGACTCAATGGGGACTGGACGATGTGGTGAGCTGGGCCAATGGCGAGCACTTCTCCAGGGTTCTAAGCGACTGCTTGCGCGCGGAGTCCATTGACGGACCGGTCCTGCTGTCCCTGACCGAATCGGACATCAGAGAGCTGCGCTACGGGCTCGACTACAAGCTCGCCTTTGGCGAGCTCAAAAAGTTCTGGCTGGCGGTCTGCAAGCTCCAGCAGCTGGTGAAGGTCAGCGGCAGGTCCAAATCGCTGGCGCAGGTCGGGGGGCAGCAGGAGGTGCACTGCCCCAGCGATGGGTCCCGCTGCGAGAGGCATGGGCGCATGGCCAGGACCCACATACCGCCGGAGTACTCGAAGACGGCCTTGAGCCTGGGCTACTCGTTTGTGGTGACCTGGATAGCCTCGTTCGTGATGGTGATTGTGCACGAGCACGTGCCGGATATGGAGCGCTACCCGCCGCTGCCGGACATCTTTCTCGACAATCTTCCGCACATTCCCTGGGCCTTCGACATGTGCGAGATCACCGGCTCGGTGCTGTTCACCTTGTGGGTGCTGGTCCTGATCTTCCACAAGCACCGAATGGTGATGCTGCGGCGCTTCTGCGCGCTGGCCGGCACCGTCTTCCTGCTGCGCTGCGTGACCATGCTGCTCACGTCGCTGAGTGTGCCGGGGACCCATCTGAAGTGCAGCCAAAAGGACTACGCCATCGACAAGGACAGCGTGGACGCGACGAACGCCATGGTCCTGCGCATGGGCCGGGCCTACCGCATCTGGAGCGGACTGGGCATGTCAATACAGGGCGTGCGGACGTGCGGCGACTATATGTTCAGTGGCCACACCGTTGCCCTGACCATGCTCAACTTTTTCATCACGGAGTACACGCCACGCACGCTGTACCACCTGCACACGTTCACCTGGCTGCTGAACATGTTCGGGGTCTTCTTCATACTGGCCGCCCACGAGCACTACTCCATCGATGTCTTCGTGGGCTTCTACATCACGTCGCGCCTGTTCCTCTACTACCACACGCTGGCGAACAACAGATCCCTCATGCAGAGCGACGCCGGCCGGACGCGCATCTGGTTCCCCCTGCTCAGCTACTTCGAGAGCGCCGCAGAGGGCATTGTGCCCAACGAGTTCGATTCGCCCCGCACCCTGTTCCGCCGCCTGAACGGACACTTCTCGAGGGCCAAGCACTACATGAAGATGGGACTGCATCGCTGCTGGCTGGAGGAACATTTCTCCCTCAAGTCATCGATGCTTAGCTTTGGGAGCTCGCAGCAGATCTCTTCCCAGAGTAGTCAGACCACCCAGACGACGAGCAGTACGAGTGACATGGACATGTCGTTGTCTGAGCCAGAAGCCCACAACCAGAGCCACAACGGGATTGTCAGAGGTGTCGGACTTGAGCCCTGCTCCAGGGTCGGCGGGACCTCAGGCCAGACTTCCCAGACTTCTTTTCCGCTGCTGCCGAAAAAGAAGAAGGTGGTGAAGATCTGATTGTGATTTGGGATTTGTATCCTCGAATGTGTACCGCAAACAGCTCTTGAACAGCTTTTCCCCATTGCAACTCCTCTATGGGTGTACATCCATCACTCTCTCCATCATTACTAGTGTCCTTCCAGTGGAATGTCGACTTCTTTTGCCGAAAGATGTCCTGCCACGGCCATAGAGCCGTTGATGATAATCCCCTGAATAAAATCCGATAAAGATAATTTGTATAATATCGAATACTTTGTGATTGCATTTTGTTTAAATGATGAGTGTACATCCATCACCCTCTCCATCATTACTAGTGTCCTTCCAGTGGAATGTCGACTTATTTTGCCGAAAGATGTCCTGCCACGGCCATAGAGCCGTTGATGATAATCCCCTGAATAAAATCCGATAAAGATAATTTGTATTATATCGAATACTTTATATATACTTATTGTTGAATTGAATGTACATAAGTACATGTGTGTGGATGTACATATCTATCTACATAGGAAATGAATGGAATAAAATACACAAGTCAAAGTCCCTTTTTGGAATGCCTAAAAGCTTATGCATATGTACCTATGTACATATATGCAGAAGCTCTCGAATGTTTTACGACTATTGTACATAAAACTAAACCTCAACAATCGACTTTGAGTCAGGAGCCGAAAAAAAGTGGGAATGAAAGAAAAAACACGTGAAATTGTAATTTACTATTAATATTATATTTAATTTTAATAATTTAATTATATATTTAATTTATTTAATCTATAAATTTATAAATTTATTTTTAGTTTATAGTTTTTATATATTTAATATTAATATTTAAACTTAAGATTTTGTCTATTATTGGAATGAATAAACAAATTTCATATTTATATTAAATAGATTTTCTACAAATTTAATAATTTATATTTTATTTGTTTTATATTTTTATTTATTTATTTATTTTTAGGTGTTTTATATGTATGTAGATTAAATATGAGCACATTCAAAAGACTATTTATGTTTCAATCGAAGTGAAATATATTTAATCTTACAATATTTGTACATGTTTAATAACCGAATTAAATTCATTTAAATATGGGTGTGTTTTTATTGACTATGAGAATAAACATAAACTAAGAAAATTGAATGGTAAATTTGAAGCAAAAACAAGATGCACAAATTATTTGACTTCCTGCATTTATTGTTAATCATGATTACATATAATAAACATTTTAGCCAAGGAACCACTTTAGGCCGGGTCTTGGACCACAGTGGCATGGAATCAGCATTGCCTTTTAAGGACATAGAGCTGCCAGGAGCCATGCATGGATGCAGGAAAGAGATAAACAGTGGGTGCACAGTAGGTGCCGAAATATGGTATGGGTTCAGGGAGAGAGCGAGAGATGCATGTTTGGCATTGTAGTCACAGCTTTCTGCTATGTACTGAGCGCCCAATCAGAAAAAGGCGACGCTTATGACACAACAAACTGAATTAATTCCATTCTCTACTCCCCATTAAGGTGGCTCAACGCTGGACAAGAGCACGGCGTAATTTGTACTGTATTCTCACACTTTCATTGCTGTGGAGCTGCCAGAGGATGTGAAAGCATGAGAGAGATAAACAGTGCCAGCTGCATGGCGTTGATAGGAAACCATTGTTCCAGAGGGAGACGCACGTAGGAATCGCCACTTAATGCCCAATCATAGAATTACGTCACGATACGCTTACGTCACAATCTGATCTGATTGCTGTAGGCACAAGTGCAGCCTTTGCCAGAGTTATATTTTCGACACTTTTAATGCTTGATGCCAAAATACCAAAAATGAAAGCTCGAACGGGGTGGATAGGAGCTGTTGCATGGAATTGTTTTCTCTATTTCCTGCTGTGATTCCCCTACGTTAGATATGCTATGTATTGGATGGCCAATCGGAGACTGTCGGAGCAGGCATGCAGTCCCCTCTCATTCACTCATGTTAATGGACATTTTAATCCTTGATAAGGATATGGAGTCTCAAGCACAAAGCGGGTTTAGAGTCAGCTTTTGTCTAAAGTGCACCGGAGCCATGGCCGAGGCGGGAGTGCCTTCAAGGGCACAAAAAAAATGGTGAATCCAACCAGATATTACCTTGCTGTTTCTGCAGTTATTGCTGTTGGTGCTGTTCGATTCGGGCAGCAGCAGCACAACAGCACCACCTGCCACTGGCAGGGCCAAAAAAGGGGCGTATGAAACTATTCAGCGATATTCCGTGGAATTCTTTCCTTTGCTGCCTGCACCTTTGCAAAATAAACGCACAAAAAAGCCAAAAATATTGCAAAATTCCACCATGAGAAGAGTCTGGTAGGAAGGTAAGTGTGGGTGCGGGTGTGGGTAGGTACACATCCTGGTCTTTTATTGTTATATTTAACATTCACCTAGAACAGCCTTTTCATCCTCTTACTCGGGGATACTCCTTCTGATCGATGGCAAACAAAACAGTTGAGCAGTCCGATCCTAGCGAAACTCTTTCTTCTCTTTCTGATAAATTGATGCAGCAAATGCAACTCGACAGGCGAGATTCGAAAACAGAGAGGTCATGTCCAGTGGATTGACGGCTGAGGAATAAGGGGGAAGGTTTTTGCTTTTGGCTTGATTAGAAAAAGAGGGAAGTTCTTGGACAGGTTAGCGGAAAGTTGGCGCGAAGTTTGGGGCCAAGGCTGCCGGAATCTTGGAACTAAAGGACAAGACTTTTGTGGAGGGGGATGTTGGGTGTGCTGTGGTTTCCGACTGGCCGAATCGAAAGTGAATTAAACTGATGGCGTGTCTGAATCAGAGTCTGGGACCTGAGACTGCAGCTAAAACGAAAATACGCCAAACTTCCACCTAGCTGAAGTGGGAACAGAAAAGTGAAAGAGTTGCCACTTGAAGAATTAAAGAGGCGTAACATCATGAGTCCTTGTCTTTGGTCCCTCCTTCCACTCATCGTTTTTTCTCCTACTCCATAGTGTTTTCGTTTTTTATTGTTTGCCCTTATTCCACCCTCAAGAGCGAATTAATTTTCTTCATTTATTAACCCTTAGTTTTCCCCCCTTTTTCATTGCATTTGTTCGCATCAGGTTTTTCCCCTCTTCTCCTCTTCCTCCTCCTCCTCCCCCTCCACGAAAACGAAATTGCTTTCGTTGAAAAATGCTGGCGCATAGCAGGGGGATGCTTCTATTTCGCTTCTTCGATTTCCCATTTGAAGTGTTTGAAGTTTAGTTTTTGTAAAGTTTCCTCTCTTTTCAGTTGTATGTCTTGGTGTTCTTTCCGTTATTCTCGGTTCCTTCTCGACCTAAAGCGGTTTCGTGATCTCCTTCAAATTATACATTAAAGGATCGCAACATCATGATGTACGACATGGCCGAGCGGACAATCTACAGAGAATAAATTATGTGAAAGAATGATCCCATTAGGAGATGAGTACGCGGGTGGATTCTACCCACCGTTGAAAAGGTGGCCATGCTGGCCTCAAAGAAGTACCCCTTCATCTGGCAGGGACGCTGGGCGCGCATGCTCGCGATGAGCAGGACCCGCTTGGTGGACGGCGCGAATTCCATCCAGTTGCTCTCGTAGATGCCGTCGCCGAAGTCCAGGCTGGCCTCCTTGATGTTCTCGCCACAGCGGGAGTATATGAAGAGGGCGATGAGCAGGGAGCCCACGAAGGCGATAAAGTAGAGGCTCTGGGGCTTGGGAAACAGGTCGGCCACCTGGAAGCCGATGAAGCAGATCTGCAGGGCCGACAAGAAGAACTGCAGAAAGATCAGAGGCCGGTAGTGATCGGCAATGAAATCGGCTATCCACAGACCCTTTTGGTGCAGCAGCAGCACCTGGACCACCGCCTCCAGCTCCCCCCTTGGATCCGCCTCGCCCATAGCCGGCAGATGGACGAGCCGTTGCCTGGCTATCTTAAAGATGGCGCAAACATTGTACGTAAAGAAGAACAGGAGGGTGTCGACGCACAGAGCCATGGTCACCGCACTGTAGCTGGCCATCACGTTCCACAGGTAGGTGGGAACGAAGAACCACATCACCTGGTAGTCGTACGGATAGACCCCCATGTGGGGCAGCTCCAGATGCAGCTTGCTGCCGTCGCCCCCGTCGCGCAGCAGGGCCAGGGACATGGTCACGAACGGCTTGATGGCCGCAAAGACACCCGCCATGCAGAAGCAGCGCGTATAGGTCAGGCTCAGCATCTGGTCACTGCGATTCTCCGCGTCTACAATCTCCTTGGCCTCTGGCCACACGTTGATCTCTGAGGAAGATCGAAACAGGTATTTTCAGGATCGAAAATGCCTGCTTGTGTGCTTGTGGGCCTTCAGACGTGACTCACCCTTTTCCAGGATGCTCCTGATGCGGTAAATCATGCCCACGAACTCCTTGCGGTAGTAGACGAACAGCAGGTACTTGACCAGGGTCAACATGCTGGCGAATGTGGAGCCGAGCGTGTCAGAGAGCAGGCTCACCTCGGTTATGTTCTCCCTGGCGGACAGGAACATGGGCAGCATGAAGGCGAACAGTGGGCCCATGGTCACGAACGTGACCAAGTGACGATCGTTGACCGCCGTGGGGCTCCACAGGTCGATGCCCATCAGGCGGTAGACGAGTATCTGCACGCGAAGGGAGTTGGTCTCGTTCGTCTTGGCCATCTTGGGGATTATAATCTGACTCCTGGCATTCAGTCGGCTTATATACCACATTCCAGAGTCATACCAGTGCCAGACGCTGACCCAGGCCCAGGCCATGCAGATGGGCGTGCCCGTTGGCCCGTTGCTGCTGACATGTCAGGGCGGAATCTCTAATTTCCCTTCTTCCCTTCTTATTTTGTTTTTTGTTTTTTTGCTCTTGCTTTTGTTTGGGATGGCAGCGGCAGCGGCGTGGGTGAAGTGCAACAACTTATATTTAATATGCATCTTTGAAGAGTAGGGCGGAGGGAGGATATGTGTGCAGGCACAGCGCCCAAATGCCAGTCATGGCTCTAATTACACATATTTTTTTTATTTTTGTGCCTCATTCTTGAGAAAACGGGTAGTATGATTCTGATCAGATGTTTGGGACGCAGAAAGCATATCCAAAGGCATTTATATTCTTCATCGTAGTGCATACAGCTGATTCCATATTTGTATATCCTACGGAAAATACAACCAAACTCCAACATTTAAAGCAAGTCATCGTACCAACATTTTGATGGCATAGCAACAATGCATCTGAAAGGGTATGCACAGATTCGATCCTGGACGCTTTGCGTTCCCTTATTTTTCGTACCCTTTTCTTGCATTCTCCTCCTTTGGTTGCCTTTTTTTCTTGACAATCTGTAATGCCAGCTTTCGGTTCTCAGCAGGTGCATTCTAATTTTAATGAGTTTTTATTTTAGATTACAAGCACCCAGCCGAATATAGTTGAAGGAACCAAATGGACAGCCTAGTAATTAAATGAGATTTTCCCAAGCTGCCGTTGACATTTGATAGGTCCCCTCGAAGCAGCCATGTCAGTGGCATAAGGAATACATCTTCTAGTTTTTTTTTAATTTCAGTTTTATAGTCCATTTGTGGAGGCTGCTTTTTATACAAAAAATCATGTCACCAGCCAAATTCCTAGACATAATGTACTTAGGTATGAGAATTTTAACATTATTGATTTGAATGCCTCTTAAATTTGCTGGTTGATTGAATTGCAAGTGCATTATGAGCCCTACCCAACAAATCTATTTGTCTTTCTTTTGTGGAAAGATTTTAGTGTGTTCTGTGCTGAATGTCCTGCTATCTAGTAATTAATATAAATTGGTTTAATAACCTAATATCAAAATCGAAGAATATGATTTCCGATCATGGACACAGAACCCATATTTAAACGAGGGGGAACGTTGTGAGAAGGCGGTCAAGAAACGCGAAACGCGAATAGTAAAGAATCGCGTGGGTAATTTTAGTGGTGATGGCAGTTCGGAAGTCAGCACAGATTCGGCCGAATCCTCCTGGCAGCTCTAATGACGCGAAGAAGCGAGAAAAGCAGCCCCGAAAAGGAACACCCGCCATCGTCGATCCCGCTAAAGTCAACAGTTGCGTGACAACCACCGCAACACGGCACCCAGCACCCTTGCCCGAATCTGCAATATTGTGGATGCAACAGATTTTCGTCCTTTATGGGGGCGGATGGGGGTGGGGCGAAATTCTGAGATATACATTTTATAGTGAGATCTAACAAAAGTGCGGATACCAAATTTGGTTACTCTAGCCTTAATAGTCTCTGAGATTTGTGGATGCCCCAGATTTTCGTCCTTTGCGTGGGCGGAAGGGGGTGTGGTGAAATTTGGACACGAAACGGTCAAGGTCCGATATCACAGGAGTGTGGATACCAAATTTGCTTGCTCTGGCTCTTATAGGTTCTGAGATCCTTGAACTCATATTTTGCAATTGGCAAAACCGACCATGAAACCTGTGTGTTAGAGAGAGACAGAGCGAGAAAGAGTGAAATTTTTTTCTTGATTCTGGCTATAATAATTATACGATCTGGTTCAGATTTTGCACTCTAGAAGATATAGTCATCTTCTACGATTCTGCGGTTTTAGTTTTCTCGCATCGTCGAAATTGTGGATGCTACAGTTTTTCGCCCTTTGTGGGGGCGGAAGTGGGCGGGGCAAAGTTTTGAAATATTTTTGTAGCAGTGACTCGGCTATTGATGCTGATCAAGAATATATGTACTTTATGGGGTCGGAAATGATTCCTTCTGGACGTTACACACATCCACTTTTACCACAAATCTAATATACCCCAATACTCATTTTGAGTATCGGGTATAAATATGAATGCAGAGTCAGCGGCGCAGCTGTATTTGTAGTATTTCGCTGCCAGTGCGTCGTCGCTGCGTTCGGACTCGGAAGCGGCGTGAGCAGAAGAATCACAGTCAGATCCGGCTTTTTTTAAGTCTAACTGCGATACAAAATTTGTGGATTGCGGGAGGCGATTGAAACTTGCGAAAACGGGAGAATTCGCAGATGACCAAGAAGGCAGTCAAGAGACGCGAGTGGTAAAGAATCGCGTTGGTGATGTCAGTTCGGAAGTTAGCACAGAGTCGGACGAGTCTTCCACTAGCAGTTCTAATGAAGCGAAGAAGCAAGAAAGAAAGAGGCAAAGAAAGCGATAATGCAGCCTCAAAAACGAACAGCCGCCATCGTAAGTCCCGATAAAGTAAACAGTTACGAGGCAACCACCGCAACAAGCACCGAACCAGCCAGATACTGTCCTTTGTCATTGTTCTGCACCACAAAACGGTGCCGTGGAGCCTCTATTCAACTACAACTAAAAAATAGCATTAACTATCAGGAGTATAAAATATATGAAAATTCGATGAAAGCAAGAAAAAAAAAGTAACGCAGAGACAGCGGCGCAGCTGTATTTACAGTATTTCGCTGCCAGTGCGTCGCAGTGCTGCCGACTATGCTTTTTTCCCGCAGCTCTGGCTTTTTTATAATTTTGTTTGGCTTTTTTCAGCTTTTTTAATGCTGTTACCACTTACAAAAAAAGTGTAAAAATGTGGCAGGTTCGTAATTTATGTTGATGATATTTGCCAATACCACCAGATAGTTACCAGATAATAATGAAATTCTAAAACAGGTTGAATTTTTTGTCTCAGGCCACATTAAATACTAATTCGTGATCAGCATCGAATTCCTGATCGTTTGCCATCAAAATCTCAATTTTTTCAAATATTTCGGAAGAAAGGCATGTCAAAAAGTGTTTCCGCGGAGGTATTTTTGCGGGTCGAACGGTCACATTGCTGTTCTCTCCTGCAACGAAAAAATGAGTCGTAATATTTAGTGGGCCATACGAAAGGGTATGGTCAACAGGCAAAAAAAGATAGCCCAAATGGCAAGGTTCCCAGGAACCTCACCTCGCTTTTTGTCTTCAAGGTATATTGAGCAATTGGGGTGGGTATCACCTACCATGCGTTGCATTTTCTGGGCCGTTTGGCCTGTTGTCCACACCATCTTTTTCCTGCCATTATGTAGCAAATGTGTACATACCGCGTAGTTGCCATGTAACAACTTGATCAAAGTAAAATTGCATAACTCGGCGTACATTTTTTTATTGTCCCATTTTCAACAGCTCGAAATCGTGAAAAATAACCTGAAAGTGAGTAGACGATAGCAATCAATGGAAAATATAAAAAGATAACCCCATTACCTTGTTTTGCAGCAATGGCTGGTGAAGGCGAGAAACTGACCGGCATGTCGAAAATATTTAATGGCTCGACCATGAGCGGCCGCGCCAATGTGAGTACTTTTCCGCATAGCATGAATATGCAGATGAATGCCGTCCAAGTGTTATGACACGCTATGGTTATTGCAGGTCGCCAAGGCTACATATGCTGTGATGGGACTGGTGATTGCCTACCAGGTGCTGAAGCCCAAGAAGAAGTAGAGGGTTGCCGTTGCCCTTTTTTCTTCTCGTACCAACTGCTTCTGCAGCCCCATCGGACCCAGGGACCGAATGCTGTGATCCGAACACCACAGAACGGGCGCCGCAGGATCGAGGCCATGTAATTTTATGTGTAGTGCAAGACCTTGAAGGAATAAATAAGTTGAAAATGTAACTCACTGAACCAAATAGCTTATGTAATGAACTATCACGACAGGAGGAGGCTAAATTGTTCCTTGATGGCAGCCGGCTGCCAAACAAATATCAGTGTGAAAGAATAATTCAAGTGCTTCCTGATATGGGGGTCTGTGCGCCTGTGGTTCTCTTTGCCCATCTCCCAGGAGTTCTCTTCCATCTGTCATCTCGCTCTAATTCAGGTCATCCACTCCTTTCTAACGGAAACCGAGGATGAATACATGTATGCACAGACTTAACCTCTTCATTGCTCTCCCTTCAGAACAACACCTTAACTTTTGCGGACTGCCAGAAGCATATATGATATGTTCCAACAACTTCTTCTGGTGTGACCGGTTAATAATTTAGAAAAACCTATTCACAGATTGTATTTATTCTCGTAAGCTTAATTTATAGACTCTTCTGGCAACCAGTCGAATCTACCAGAATCATTCTCCTCGAATTATGTGAAGATCGAACAACCTAACAGACAGAGCACCAAACTTCTCCGAGTAGATACACCGATAATTGTTCATAGCTCGCGCTCATGCACTTTTCTATAATTAAAAGATCCAAGAACTGTTGTACATCTAACGAAAAATATGGCGTTTGCTTGTGCAACCATTATTCTTACCGTCCGTCGAGAACTCCTCTCACACGAGTATCCATGCTCGTCATCGGGTTTGATGCACTATGCAACATTATCCACCAATGGTCAGATGTTTCCACCTCAATGTGGAAGCACTGTTGCCCTCTTGACCCATGCCCATGCCCCATGCTCTGTCCCTTTTCTCTACTTTATATTTTGGAAGAGAATTTTCCTAAAGAAGTAAAATGTGGAAAACATATTGGTAAGTACAGAGTAGGTTTAAAACAGCATGTTCAACAAATTTTGTTCGTTGTTTTTTTTTAGGTTTTTTGTTTTGTTTTTTAAATATTTTATTTAAAGTTTTATTTCATTTCAAACTTGCTTTAAATTTTCCTCATTCATCGGTTGAGGCTAGGGGTAAGGGCAATCGATCTGGAGCGGGCCCCAGATTTGAATCGAAATTGAAAGATTCCTCTCGTTCATTGGTTGGAGAGGTCACGGGGGTAAGGGGGATCTGGGGCGGGCCCCAGGTTTGTTTTCTTTCTTTTTTTTTTATCGAAATTTCAGTATTGCTAAAAATTAATTTGAATGAATTGAATGTAAAAATGGTTTACATATATTTCGTATAAATATTTCATGTACTGTACTCTTCTTTTCTCTCTTATCTGCCTGCCTGCCTGCCTGCTGGCCGGGCCTATTCCTCGCCTGACTGACGTGTCCTTCGACCGTTTAGCTGTATGTTAATCAGCCCTAACGGGTTTCTTGATGCATTTAAAATATATGTTGTAGGTATAAATTAGTGTTTATATCATTTATCAATTGTATATGCTATGTAATTACCTTTTACATGTATTGTATAATAGCAAGCGTTTGCTTCGGTTTCGGTTTTCTTTCTATATCTTCCTATATTCTCCTGTTATCCACTAACTGTTTCGCTTTCCTTTTCTTTTCTTTTGTTCTCTTTATGCTTCTGTTTCTTCTCGTTTTCCGTGTTATTTTAATAACTAAACTATTTGCCTGGCTTTGCAAATTCCCCGTTTTGGGGGCGGGTCGTATGTGAGTGAGGGATTGAGTGAGTGAGAGGGTGACATTCGGGTGCGTGGGAGTGAGTGACTGAGTCTGATTGTGTGTGTGTGTTTGTGTGTGGACTATTTAATATACCGCTAATTTACCGCTATATTCCATTGCTTTGTTCTATTGCGTTTTCTCTTTTGCGCTTTACAGCAGCAGCGCAGCACAGAAGCAGCGTAGCAAAGTGCGCAGCGCAGTCGCAGTTATTCTGCTTGATTTTTGTTTTGGTTTTTGTCTATATTTCTACTACATATTCGCATTGGGATTGGGTGCTGCGGGGGCGGGCCACAGGGATCTCCCATCTCCCTCCAACGAACCCTTCTTAGTATTCGCTGAGAGCGCGTGTGGGGGGGTGTGTGGAGGATGTGGGGTGTGCGAGCAAGAGATCTCTGCGGCTCTTCCACCGGTGTCGTCGCCCTGGGATGTGTGCGATTATAATCGTTATAATTACTGTTGTACGAGCAAGAGTATGTTTGAATTTGTATCAGTGTATGTGTGTGGGGATCTTGTTGTCATTAAAATTGGAACCGTTTTTGCTTCTATATATAATATATATATACTCGTATTCTTGTATATGCATGCGTATGTGTTTTGTGTGTGTGTGTGAGTGTATCGTTAATGCCCATACATAGATCATATCATATCATATCCTTGTTAAGTTACAGTTACATAATGAATTACACATTTATATAAATTGTTTAAATTTCATTCTCGCCACGTCACTCTCGTACAGCATACATTACTTTTAATTCTCTCATTTACGTGACTGCGCCCTTGAGCATAAAACGTTCGTTTCGTTCTTCATTTCGATTACAGTTCTTTCCGATTGCTGACTGGCGATGTCTGGCAGGTCTGGCTGCGACAGGGGCTGGTGGCGGCGTTGCCACCGATGTGCGATTTGCGCTGAACACTTTCAATTTAAAGCCTGGGATACCGGGGGATACGGATACCGTTATTCGTTTAGCAGTGCTGCCATATTGACGGGGTGGCGGGGGGACTTGTATAACGATAATGACCGGGATCAGGAATTACTCATGTGTCTGTATAATGCTACATATACATATAATGCCTGTTATTGCTGTTTTGTTATTGTTTCTGGTTTCTGTTTTCTGTTTTCGGTTTTCGGTTTTTGTTCATACAGATTTCTATAATGTATTTTGTTTGCTTTTACTTGTTTAAACTTATTTTTGCGCTTAATCAAACTTAAAAGCTTGCCTGCTTTTCATTTGTCTCTCTCTCTCTCTCTCTCTTCGTTTCTCTATATATTCTCTATATGTGTATGTAGGTATCATCTCGTGCTCGCTTTCTCGTCACTTTCTTCGTTCTTCGTTCCTCGCTCATTCTTTCAGATGTGATTTGTATAGAGTAGATAGAGCCCCGGGTTACGTTTTGTATATATGTATATATATATATATATATAATGTATTATATTGTAGCATAAACATAAATTAGAATTATTAGTGGATTTTTTGTGTGTTGCAAAAAAATTAAACAATATTTATGTATATGTATTATGTATTTATGTATAAAGAAATTAAAGCATACGCAGTGCCAAATGTTGAGTTTGTTGTTGGTTTTTGTTTTTCTTGGGGATTTAATTTGGGGGAAAGAGCATTGAGGGGTGGGCCGGGGCGGGGCGGGGCGTTGCGGGAGAGAGACTCTACTACAAAAAATAATAAGTATATAAACGTAAAAGTAATATTATGTAAATTTGTTTGACAAAAAATACACTCCGCTATTTATGTAAGTATGTTTTTATATGAGTTCGTGTTCGTGTGTTTGTGTGTGTCTGTGTAATGTGTGCATTTTGTGTGTGTGTGTGTGTATGTGTGTGTATGTGTGTTTTGTTTAATAAGTAATTCTCTTGCGATTTCTCCATTTTCTATTGCTCCTTCGGGCTCCTGTTCTCCTGTTGCTGCTGCTTCCGTTTTCATCTGTTGCGGCGGTGACGGTGTGGCGGTGTTGCGGAGAGGGGCAGGGCTGCTTATGGGGATGGGGTACCTATCTCTTACTATCTCTGATTTGCATTTTCCGTCATCGTTCCGCCTCCCTTCCCTGAGGACCTGCCAACAATCATCAAATCAACATCTGCTGCCGATCCTCCTGCCGATGGCTCCTCCTCGCTAAACGCCATTTATGCTTTATTCCTGCTCTAATTTCCTTAAGGGTTTGGGTTTCGTGTGTCTCCTCTTCGCTGTTGCTAAATTTCCCTTTGAACGCTTTTCTCTCACTTTGCGTTTGCATTTCTCCCATTTCTCATTTACTGAGGTTTTTCTTACCGAGTACTGTTTTGTTTTGTTTTCATTTCTCTCGATTTCTTTCTTCTCTGGCGGTTTACTTATACCGTCTTATTCTTGGCAGCTCTGTTTCTCTTGTTAGCATTTTTAGGTCTCTACTCGTCTCTCGCTCTCGCTCTTCGTCGCTTCTGCTCCCGCGTCTGCTTTCCCTTTATTCTCTCACATTTTCTCTTACGCTTGCGATAGTATCTCTTGTAGTTTGTGTTATTAACTTTCGATTTCGTTAGCTTTCTGGCTTCTGCCTGCTGCCGCCTTCTTCCTTCCTTCTTCACTTTTTTACTTTTACTTTTACTTGTTGCTTAACGTTTAGTTTTATGGATAAGTAAATATTTCTCCTCTCTGCTTTCGCTTCCAACAGTTCCTACATTCGTTATCGTAATCGTTATCGTTCCTTTACTTTGCTTTGCTTTGCTTTGCTTTCCTTTCCTTGATTTGCTTTTCTTGATCTCCTTCGATGCGCATTCCTTCCACTATTCCCCGTTTCCTCTATGCCTGTATGCACGTTTGTGTGTGTGTATTTTCTTCTATTGTAGGTGGGGGACTGTGATTGTGGCTGTGGCTGTGGCTGGGGTCCGCTGGAGTGGTATTGAGTGTGGTCGTGGGCATGATCGTGGGCGTGGGCGAAGGATTCTGCCCCACTCAGTTGGCGTGCCACTCCCCGCGATTGGCCCCACCGCCGGAGCCGGCCGCATTGTTGGCATAATACGGTTTGCTCAGCTGCGCAGCCGCCGAGCCGACCGCGGAGCCGGTTGAGCCGCCGCCCACCGCTCCTCCTGGTCCCCCATTGCCACCGCCACCGCCGTTACCGCCCGGCGGTCCAACTGGGGCATTGCCATTGCCACCGGCACTGGTTGGCGCTGCCACTCCTCCATTGCCGCCGGTCACCTGCCGCATGTTTTGGGCGCGCTGCGCTGCTGCTGCCGCCTGATCCCTCTGCTGCTGTTGCTGCTGCTGTTGGGGATGCTGTTGCGGATAGTTGTTGGGTCGCTGAATGGGCGTGGGGTACCGACCTTGGTTGCCACCGCTCTGTCCAACGCTGCCAACACCGTTTCCGCCACCATTGCCACCTCCACTGCCGTTGCCGCCAACCACCTGAGAGCCACCGCCACCGTTCCCGCTGCCACTGCCCACGGCACCGCTGCCACGTCCGCCCAGGGCGTTCATGTTGGGTCCGTTGCCGCCATTACCGCCCTGCTGCTGGCGCTGCTGCTGCTGTTGCTGCTGAGATTGTTGCTGCTGCTGCTGTTGTTGTTGTTGTTGCTGCTGTTGTTGCTGCTGTTGCTGCTGCTGCAGCACCTGGTTTTGCAGATCCCACTTTAAGAAGAGAGGAAGAGAGAGAGTGAGCATCATTCTGGTTAGTAGAGGAAGCAACACTTACAGCGCCATAGTTCTTGTGGTGCGGCGGACTGGGCTGCGACTGGACCTGTTTGGCCAGACCGAGACTCATGTCAGCGCTGAGTGGACTCTTCAGCTGTCGGCCCATCTGAAGGGGGAGGACAAGAGACACAGTTTGGTGGGCGGTTAGTTAGGATAGATAGATAGATTAACGATTAAAGACTATATCTTTTTATACCCGATACTCAAAATGAGATTTGTGATGAAAATGGATGTGTGTAACGTCCAGAAGGAAGCGTTTCCGACCCCATAAAGTATATATATTCTTGATCAGCATCAATAGCCGAGTCGATTGAGCCATGTCTGTCTATCCCTCCCAATGGGGGCCTAGTGCTCAGAGACTATAATAACTAGAGCAACGACTTCCGTATATCCAGACTTCCGTGATATGCCACTGTTATAAGTATATTACAAAACTTCGCCCCGCCCCCAAAAAGGACGAAAATCTGTGGCATCCACGATTTTAAAGATAAGAGAAAACCAAAAAAGAATAAGACTACATCTTTTATGGTGCAGAATCTGGACCAGATCGTATTATTATTATAGCCATAATGAAGAAAACAATTTGATTTTCTCTCGCTGTCTCTCTCTCTCTGACACACACGTTTCATGGTCGGCTCTGCATATCGCAAAAAGTGAGCGCCTAGATTTCAGAGACTATAAGAGCTAGAGCAACCAAATTTGGTATTCACACTCCCGTGATATTGAACTTGCACAAGTGTATTTCAAAATTTCGCCCCACCCACCGCAAAGAACAATATTCTGTGTCATCCACAGATCCCAGAGACTATTAAAGCTGGAGCAATCAGATTTTATATGTACACTCCTGTTAGACTTCACTGATACAAGTGTATTTCAAAATTTGGCCGATAATTCGATGAAGGATTTTTCTTGATTGTAGATTCTTGATTCGTGCTTGAACTGTGCGGATCGGATTTGATGGATAAGTGTTGTAATGAACGTGCACACATTTAGGTGATTCTCTTTCTACGACGCCATCTGACTGCGTCGCTGTCTGTAGTCCTTACCGAGTCCTGCATATGGCCCTGTCCCTGGCTGCTCTTCAGGTAGGCCGCTCCAGGCGTGGGTCCTCCTCGGTACTGATTGATACTGCCCGACAGCAAGGGGGAGTTCATGAACTGCGTGTTGAAATTGCCCATCGTGTGCTGTGACTGGGGACCGCCTGGCGGCCCATTGGAGCCGGGCGGTCCGCCCTGATGGCCCCCGTACATGCCGGCGGCTGTGGCCAGGCCGTAGCTCTGCGCACCTCCGTTGCCCTGCGGCGGGGGTCCACCATAGAACTGAGGGCCACTGGGACCGCCTGGCGCCGAATTCGAGTAGTAGCTGTTGGACTGGAGCTGATGGGCGACCGGCGGGGGGCCGCCTTGGCCCGGATGCTGGGGCGGAGGGCCGGGATAAAGATTCATATACTGCTGGGTGGTGGCATAGGGGCCGGGGCCACCGCCGCTGCCCGCCGACTTGGAGCCTATGGCCCCGATGGGCTGCTGGCTGGATTGAGGCGGCTTGGCTGCTCCCGAGGACATCATGGAGTTGCTGTTAGATGAGATGATGGTCACCGCGGCGTTCGGATTGCTCAGCTGCTGCGAGTTGGGCTGACCGAAGGGGCCGACCGTTGGGCCGCCGGGTCCGCCGCCCAGACGGAACTGCGACGACAGATTGGAGTACATGTCGGGTGTGGCCGCCGTCTGGGGCATGTTGCCGCCATGGGCCGTCTGCATGGCGTACGCATTGACGTTGAAGGGGCCACCGGCTGCCGCCGCCGCCGCCGCTGCTGCCGCATAGTGGCCCGGGAAGCTGTGTGCGGCCGCTGCCGCCGAATAGGCGGGCGAGCGGCTCGAATGATCGAGCGTATGGAATGGAGCATACAGATTGCCGCCCTGCGACGGTGGCGGCGGCGGTGGCATCTGCGACGAATTGAACACCACGGCCGGCGGGCTGGGAATCGTTGGAATGCCGCCGACACCGAACTGCGGCGACGCCTGGTAGAACGGTTGCTGCTGTTGCTGCTGGTGCTGCTGATGCTGCGAGTGTTGCTGCTGGGAGTGCTGCTGCTGTTGGCTGGGGGGCGGAGACATGCCCAGGTACTTCTGCTGCTTGGCCTTCTGGTGCTGCTGCTGCTGTTGCTGGGGACTGGGATAGTCCTCCTGCTGGAACTGCTGGTCCAAGGAGCCGCCATCGAAGGGCGATCCATGACCCCCATAGCCATGCACACCGGGAACGGGCCCCGGCGAGGACAGCGCATGGTGCTGATGGTGCTGGGCCTGCTGCTGCTGGTGGTGGTGGCTCTGCATGTGCACCGCTGAGACCGCATAATGGGGCATCTGCTGCTGGTGCTGCTGGGAGGCAGCCACCGCCGCGGCCACAAACGAGGCGGCACTCATGTGGCTGCTGCCATCGTCGCCCCCCTGGGGCTGCAGCACAGATTGTTGCTGCTGTACCGCTTGCTGCTGTTGCTGCTGCTGGACCTGCTGCTGCTGCTGGACCTGCTGCTGTTGCACCTGCTGCTGCTGCTGCTGGACCTGTAGTGGCTGTTGCTGGACGAGCGACTGCTGCTGCTGCTGTTGCTGCTGCTGGGCCATGGCCTGCTGCTGCTGCTGGCCTAGGGGCAGGGCCTGCTGTTGCTGTTGCACCTGCACCTGCGAGGGCGATGGCCCGTCCGACATCGGTGTGGCCGACTCCCACACCTTTTTCACGCTGGCTATCTTCATATTGAGATCGGCCGTTGAATTATTTTGCTGTTGCTGCTGCTGTTGTGCCGCCTGCTGCTGCTGCTGCTGGTGGTGCTGATGCTGCTGGCTGGCGGAGGCCTTGTCCATGGTATCCACCTTAAGGGGCGAGGGATCATCTCCGAAGGTGAAGCCTAGCTTCATGTCCTGCGCCTCCTCGCCGGCTCCCGTGGCGGACTTGCCGCCGAAGCTCATCTGGGACAAGGCACTGGAAAGGCTGTCCACCGTGGAGTCGCCCGAGAGCTGGCTGTTGGGCTTAATGACCACAGCCGCTGCAACCGCCTGCTGCTGCTGCTGCTGCTGCACCTGCTGCTGCTTGTACGTTGAGTTCTCAAAGATGATCGTGTTGACGGGGGCACCGTCGATCAGGAGCGTGGCTCCCTGGCCACCGGGCACTGTACCCGGACCAGAACCTGGACCCACTCCCAGGCTGACGGCCACCAGTGGTGATTTCTCGCCGATGGCTGCCAGCTTGATGACCTTCTCGCTGCTGCCGCACGGACCGCCTATGACAGAGACGGATGAGGGGTCGCCGCCGGCCTTTTTCTTTTCAAGCAGATCTGCTGAGCAGCCCAGTGATGAGGGGACGCCGCCTGTCGCGACGCCGCTGGTCAGGGCCGTGGGCGCTCCTCCTGCCGCGGTGGCAGCCAGTCCGGGAGGAATGCGCGCTGGCGAATCCTTTTGCGCCTCCTCCTTGACCAAGGCAGTGTGCTGGCTGTGGCTGTGACTGTGGCTGGGGGCTGAAGTGGCAGTCTTGCAGTCCTTCTCCTCGCCTACGGCTCCGCAGGCCTCCTCGTCCTTGGCCATGTGCTTGCTCTTATCCGCCAGATCCGCCTCCGACTCTGAGCTGCGCTTGCCGTACTCCTCGTAGCCGAGCCGTCCGTACGCGCGTCCAGCACCTCCAGTATTGCCGGCTGATCCGGTGCCGGATCCTGCGGCTACCGGACGGCGATACCCAGGAGCTGAGACGGCACCACCACCGCTGCTAAGTCCACCGCGTCCGCGTCGTGAAGGCTCTCCGCGCGGCGAGAAGCCGGCCTTGTTGGCCGACGGCTGTCCCGCTGGATCCTCCGGACGGCGACGTGCTGCGCCAGTACCACCTCCACCTCCTCCTCCCCCGCCACCTCCACTGCTGTAGCAGTCTTCATCCACATCCTCCGAGTGCTCCGATTGCTCGCCGCCGCTGCCGTAGTAGCGTCTGCCAGCTGCACCGCTGCTGCGGCTGCTGCTGCCCCAGTCGCTGCCGCTCCTATTTCCGCCACGATAGCTGCCACTTCCGACCGATGCTGCTTGTGCTCCGCCTCCTCCAGCGCTGGCCGCATAGCTGCGTGTACCGCCGCCTCGACCTCCAACAGATCCGCCGCCACCTCCTCCTCCTCTGGGACTGGGGCGCTTGCCGGCGGCGGCGCTAGGATGCGCCTTGTCCTCATCTTGCTGCTGCTTGTTGCCAGACGCCGCCTGCTGCTGCTGCTGATACTTGGCCTTGTCGCCATCGCCATCGGGCTTCTCCTCTGACTTGTCATCGGACTTGTCCACCGGCTCCACGCTGCGGCGCAGGATCTGCGTGGGCATGATCTCTGCAGGTGCGGGCTTGTGCAGCGATGGAGAGGCAGGCAGCAGTTGCTTCTGCTGCTGGCCGCCGACGACACCAGGGGCCATGGCCTCTTCGCTGAGGCTGGGCTGACGGGCCGGACGCTGCAGGATCTTAATCTGCACGGACGAGTCGTGGCTGTGGGTGGAGGAGAAGCTCTCGTCGCGATGCCTGTGGTGCACCTTCTGCTCGGCATCGGTCTGCTCGGCCCAGGAGGAGCACGAGCCCAGGCTCAGGATGGCGCACTCCTCGCCGCCGGTCGACGAAGAGACGCTGGTTTTGCGATGCGAATTCTCCGAAATGCTCCGCGGCAATGACTGCACCTGACTCCTGTACTCCTGCTGTCCCCGGGTGAACCGCTGCTGCTGCTGCTCGATGGTCAGTGCCTCCTGCTCCTCTCGGGCACTGGAACTGTCGTGACGATTGCGTCCGTAGCCCCCACCAGCGGCTCCTCCTCCTCCTCCACCAGAAGCACCGCGTTGAGCGTAGCCCCCACGTCCCCCTCCACCGCTTGCCACGGTACCAGCGACCGCTCCTCCTCCGCTGGCCGATCCCACGCCACCCTTCTGCAGGTAGCGCGAATTGCTGTCGAAAGCACTGCTGGCCGAGGCGCTCTTCTCCAGGCGTGGCTGCTGCTGCTGCTGCTGGGCCTGCTGTTGTTGTTGCTGCTGGCGCTGGAAACGTGGTGGTAAATTCGATTGAAAGTGGGTAAGGAACACGCCCTTCTGGCCGTATTCACCGCCAGCTGGCGAACCAGAACCTGACACGCCGCCGCCACCGCCAGTTGTCACGGGACTCACACCGCTGCCCAGGCTGGAGATGCTGCCGCGTGGGCGACGATGCTGGCCTCCGCCCTCATCCTCACTGACATTGCCCAGCGGTGCGGAAAGGGATTGCGCTTCATTCGAGGAGACAGAGCCCGAGGATGAGGCGGGTCCCTCGCCGGCCAGAGCCGCCGCTGCTGCCTTCTTGCTGTTCATTTTCATTTCGAGCTCCTGCAGCTTCTTGGCCGCCGCCTGTTTCCGCTCCATTTCGCGCCGCTCCTCCTCTTCCTTGCGCTGCTTTACTCGCTCATAGACACTGGCGTCCAGGGCAATGCCACCGGCCACTGGTGCCCCAACATTACCAGAACTGCCACGATGTCCGTTCTGTTGGCGCATGTCTTGCTGCTGTTGCTGCTGCTGCGATTGCTGCTGCTGGTCCAAGCACCCTTCTGGAAGGGACTCGCGCTCGCTGCTATCCTTGCCACGCTGCCAGCTGGATACGGATGGGGGTGCCATCTTGCCAGCCAATACTGAGGAGGCAGCTGTGGAGGCTTGCGACTGGGAATGGCCCTGATGCTGGTGCTGCTGCTGTTTGCCAGAGCCGCCGCCATGGAGATGATCCTCTGGGGGGGATTCGTCGTCCGAGAATGTCAACTTCTTGGTATAATCAATATCATCCTGCTTTGTCCAGCTGTCGTCCTTGGCTATCGCATTCAAGCGCTCCAGATCCTCCTCGCGGATAATGGGGCGCTGCATTTGGGCCACTTCCGGCTCCACCACATAGTCCTTCTCCTTGCGTCCGCCACCGTTTGCCTGCTGCTGCGCCTGCTGCTGTTGGGGTGGCGTCGATGTGCCCATGCCCTGTGGGGGCGAGGCAGAGGCCGCAGGACGCTTCGGTATAGCGCTGGCCGCACGAAAACCGCCAACGGCCGGGGAAGCGGCCCGTCCCCCAAGGATGCCGTTCTGATAGTGGGTGGGCAGACCCGATTCGGAGCCGCCCGCAAGAATGGAGGCCACCGTGGTGGCCATGGATCCGCCGATACCCATGCCCAGGCCGCCGGCAACCACCGCCGATGTGGGCATTGGGGCACCGCTGCGCATGAACGAGGGCATAAGCGAAAGTATGGGCAGGGGAACGGCTCCTCCGTTCCCTGATCCGCCGCCGCCACCCCCGCCGCCAGGTGTACCACCGCCGCCGTTGCCGGCGATCAGATGGTGGCCCTGGCCCTGTTGGCCCATCGCCAGGTCCGAGTTGGCCGCCGCCGCCGCAGCCGCTGCCGCAGCACCCTTGGCCGCCTTCTCCTGCTGCTGCAGCCAGGTGGCCGTATCGTTCTGTGGTCGCAGGCTCATCTCGCCCAGATCCATGCCACCGGCGCCACCGCCGCCGTCGTCGTTGCCATCTCTGTAGTCGCGATGCGAGTGGTGAGATCCCCCGCCATACTGACGTCCCTGTCCCTGGCCCTGGTGGTAGTCCCGATGGTGCGACGACTGCTGATGCTGCTGCTGATGCTGGTGCTGGTGCTGCTGCTGATGATGGTGAGAGTGATGCGAGTGATGATGGTTCTGCTGGATTGAGCTCGAGTGATGCGCCTGGTTCTGGTAGTGTCCCTTGCCCGACTGCGCTCCCCCCAATCCGGAACCGGCACCGCTCGATCCGCCGCCACCGCTTCCGCCGCTGCCAACTGTGCCGTCCAGTGTGGGGAACTCGTATTGGAATTGCGGACTCTGGTAGTGGGGCACCACCTGCTGCTGCTGATGCGAATGATGCTGGGGCTGGCGACCAAAGTGCTGGCCCCTCTCGTGTCCTGTGGTTATGGCAGACCATGACTTGGGTGAGTTGAGCGAATGGCCACCGCCGGCTGCTGATCCTCCTCCTCCGCTGCCCCCCGGTCCGCCTACCGAGTTATTGATGAGCTTGTAGTTTTTGTTGCTATTAGCGGGGCCACCGCCACCGCCACCGCCGCCTCCGCTGTGAGTGTGGCTATGTCCAGAGGAGGCACTGTTGTTGCCGCCCCCGGAGGTGACGTTATTGTTGCTGTTGCTGTTGCTAGTGCTACTATTGCTGCTGCCGAATTTATTGCCGGCGTTGCTCGTTGAGACGTTGTTGTTGTGGTGGTGGTGATGCTGCTGCTGTTGCTGCTGCAGTTGCTGTGAACCTCCTCCTACGCCAGGTGATGCTGAGGCTCCACCGCCTCCAGTTGATCCTCCACCGCCGTTACCGGCAGCGCCTGCTCCTCCTCCTCCGCTGTGGGCAGTGGTGTTGTTGTGGCTATTATTAGATCCTCCTGCTGAGCCTGATCCTGCTGTTATTTAAGAGGGGAGATACATATAGGAGATATAGAGAGTACTCTTCTGTTGATGTTGCTTCTGCTGCTGCTGCTGCTGTCGCTCAACTCACCTTCGACTGAGACTAGGAAATTATTGTTGCTGCTGCTGGTGTTGGTCTCGGCCTTCAGGGATGGCAGATTGGCTGGTGGTCGCCTAGCGGACGGCACTTTTCCCAAGATTTGCATACCATGTTTACGAGGCACTTGATTCTTCTGTGCTGATGGTTCACTTGATTCACCCTGCGCAAGGCGGAGGGAGGGAGGGAGGGAGAGGGAGTCATGGAATCAGCAAACAGTAAATATATATATGTATGTACATATATACATATATGGGGACTATAGAGGGACATTTATGCATATGGATATGTATATGATTTGTACTTACACGACTATTCTTGTACATGCGATTTATATCCAACGCTGTGAATTTGGGCTTGGCATTTCGCTCTCCCCTACTTCCCCCCAGTGTACTCATGCTGCCAATAGATCCTCATTAGCGTTAGCTTCCTTGACGCCGCCGCCGCGTTCCTCGCTCTCTCAATGCGCTGGATTTGGATCTCAATGTGGATGTTGATGTGGATTTATCGCTCTCCTTTGTCGTTGTTGTTGCTTGTGCTTGTTCTCGCACTCTCGTTCTCTCTCTCAATATATATGTATATCTCCCTTTCTGTCTTACCTTTGGGGATCGTTGATTGGGCAATCTTCTTGCTTCAGTCTTTCTGGTGAGCTGCAAGAGACAGACAGAGAGAGAGAGAGAAAGAGAGGGAGAACGAAAAAGGGAGAGTGTTAGGCCACAATTTGTTTACTGCAGTTTTTCCATTGTTGCTTTTGTTTTGGTGGACAAACCATTCTCTTTACACCCACCCCCTCCCCAACTCACGGGCAATGCATTGCATTCACTGATGCCGAGATGCCACCCTCTCGCACCTCATCAAACCAACTAATGTTTGGTGTGAGCAGGCTAACGCCAGTTCCATTAAAAGAACAAGCAAACGAGTCTGCCGAAGGCATGGCGGCAGGCAGAGCGGGACGGCTGTATGCAGTGCTCTCTTTGATTGCTACCCACACACACGCACACACAGCCAGAACACAGCACAGCAGCACACTGAGCCGAAGCGGCAACGCATTGGAAAGAAGTATTTGCGGTGGCGTCTTGTAATAATTGGTGGCTTGAGAAGTGGGGGTGTGGGGAACGAGGGAACAATGGCTGACAACAAATACAACAACAGCAATACAAGTTCTCTCCAAAGCCAACAATAGGCAAATAGAAAAAGTGGCAAACATTTGTAATGTAAGCAATTTTTAGTTTGGTTTCTTTTGTGCGGCGTGGCCCGGCGGGAACAGGCGGGGGCGGGATGTACATATGTGCATATGAAACAATAAAATGCTTGGCAACAATTCTTTTTTCTTTTTGTAATAACAACAACCATTCATAAGCGGACACACTAATACACGCGCGCACACACAACACACACACACACTAACACACGCGTTCACATACACGTACACAAAAACGCAGCGATAGAGACGAGTACGACGCTGAGGATGGCTTTGTTAGTTATTATTTAATCGCTGTATGCGGTTCTTTTTTGTTTTATTTTTCACTTAGATATTTTAGTTACACTTTTCTACGCAAACGATCAGAAAAATAATAAGCAAAAAAGTTGTAAATGTCATTCTAAAAAGTACCGTATAAATACGGCACTTACACAGACACAGCACTTGGCGTTTGGTTTGTTAGACCGAAAGAGGTAGGGATGGAAAGTAGAAATTAAATGCAGAAAATGTGTTTGTTCTCCCTTAATTTTTTACTTTTGCAGACAATTTAGCCAATCTTTATTACGTATTTATCAAGCTCCCTATTTTACTTTTGTTTAAAATGTTTCAGTTTGCTTTCCACCATCCAACATGAAGTTTGCCGCTTCTTCTTCTTCCGTGTGCTTCTTCCTCTTCAGTTTCACACAGCTACACATTTCGCATGTATTGCGTGCGTGTGGTCAGCGTTGCCACACCGCCTCAGAAAATCGAACCAGATTGACAGCCCCATATAATGTGTGGCGTGCAACTCTACACCTGGCAAATTAATAAATTATTTGATAGTAACGCTTCTGACGCACCTTAATTTAGTTTGCAAATTGCTCACAAATTACTCAAGTGTCATACACAGCATGTTCAAGAGAATCAATACGGCGTAAACCTGCGGCACCGCCGACAACTGCAACGGCGGGTAACCCTGTGGGAGAGAGCGAGATAACAGGAGAATATTGCTGCTTTGTCGCATAATATATTCAATAAAACGTCTGCACACATTTGTTTTTCCCACACATTTAATGTATATTTGACCGAAAACATGAGAGGAGAATGGACTCCAAAGAATTTTGCCGACGAGCTGACAACCATATTTTCAGGGTTTTCAGCCCGTGCGAAAATTGACAGCAGCAATAAAACGCATACGCGTACGCGAGTATGAAAGAACGAGGCAGTTGGCACATAGAGCTTACCCTTTTACACGCAGCGCACACACCGCAAACACAGTTCGTTGCTCCTTGGCTCCTTTTTTTGCACTCTTTCTGGCGCTTACTCAGCCCCTGCCGTGTTGGTTGCACAAAAAAATGAAAACAACAAAATGCGCAACGAAACGAAATGCTTTGCAGTGCAAACACGTTTCGCTGAACGCCTTTGTTTAATGCACAAAACGCGCCAGGCGGCTAGCGTTGACAAATGTTCGATTCTATTTGGATTTGGTTTAGTCAAATTTGTGTTTCTTCTCGGCTTCGTTTCGATATGTCCCTCTTCGTCGCACGTTCGCTGTGTTGCGCTGGCTGTGGACTGGCTTTGTCAGCGCACTCACTCTCTCTTTCGCTCTTTTGCTCCCCCTTCTGTTCGGCAATGGGTCGCTGTCGCTTTTTTGCAAGTGTATGGATGGGGAAAATGGTATCGGATCAGAGGAGACCCAAAGTGTTCGGGATACTCGTTTGAATCACTTTTCTTATGCTTATTTATTGGTGTTTCAGCACACACGCACGCACGCTCTATTAATTGGCGCCTTATTGCACTAGGCTGCGTTTCAATTAAACTTTAATTATTTATGTTGCGTTCTTTTCACGTAATACGTAATTGTCCATTAGTTTTAAATCGTATGTATTATTTTTTTGCCATTTTGCGGCGGGCGTTGCCATACCATAAATGACTGCCTGCATGAACTATCGATTGCGCACAGTCATAGCTATCGATCTGCACGGTGAGAAATATTTCGTCTAGCCACGTGAATTGCCTGAGTTTTTAACATTTACTGTATGATTTAGCTTGATTAATTAAATTGTTGGGAATGTATTGCATCTACAAAATGGATAATGATATTCTAAAAATATACCGAACTAGCGTTGCCGGACCACTATTACTGGGCTGCCCACCCACAATTAAAGTTGAAAGTCCACCCATCTCTAATTTCAAATTACATCGCTAATTATGTTGTTTACAGCAGCAGCAGCAGCAAAAAAGTGCATTTAACTTGTTGTATTTTCCCAGCAAAGATGATTTGCAGACTATGCCTGCGCACCATAAATCCCAGCAATGCCGTATTCCTGTTCGAAACGAACGAGACGTTGGCGGAAACTACTCTGGTCAAGATGATTGCCAAATTCCTGCAGTTGGAGGCAAGTGGGCGGCGAGTGAAACCATATTTTCCTGACTGCTGGCCCTATTTCAGATCACGCCCGATGACAGTATCTCGACGAGTGTCTGTACCGAGTGCTGTGAGCATCTGGAGGATTTCAATACCTTCTGGCAGCTGGTGGAACAGAAGCAGGGCACCCTCAAAAAGGAGTTCCTCACCGTCGACGTGGACTGTGTGGCGATGAAGTGGACGGGCGAGGTAGATGTGGACGTCAACATTGACGAGCTGCCGCTGGTGGCAGTCGAAATGGACGAGAAGCCCCTCGATATGCACAACCTCAGCCTGCTGGGCAGTGTTCTGGATGTGAATGTGGACAGTGTCGAGGTGCCACAGGCGCCGCCTGGCGATATCAAAATTCAGCCGACTGATTACTTGTCCGAGGAAGACGGGCATCCTTCTCATATCGAGGCGACGGACAGCGAGTTCGAATGCGAACCGGTCCCCGAAGAAAACACCTCGGATGGTAAGTCCATAAGCTTACCGGATACCCATTTGAATCCCCCGCATTTGAAGCGGTTCCACTTTTGCAGATGAGCCGCTGGTCAAGCTGCAGGACAAGCTGAAGCCAAAGCGCAGGTCCCACCCCCGCACCACAAAGACACGGGAAGACACCTGCTCACTCGGAGCTCAGGAGCTGAATTATCTTCTTGGGCGGGGTGATGGCGAGGGCAGCAAAGGGCGTCGCAGAAAGGCGCCTGGCCAGCGCATACCCACGGAAGTGCAGGAGAGCGAGCTGCAGGCAGCGCTCGAGCGCAAGCCCAAGGGCTGCTCGCGGGCACAGCTGGCCAAGCGGTACGAGGAAGTCATTGCCAGCTACATGAACGCCGACTGCGACCTGTGCGAGTTCAGCGGCAAGTATCTGTCCGAGCTGAAGGTGCACTTCCTGGAGGCCCACCAGCGTGAGTTCTACATCAAGTGCTGCAATAAGGTTTTCACACGCGCTTCCAAGCTGATGGACCACATTCGCAAGCACGTCAATCCCAAGCTCTTCACGTGAGTAAAGCCCGCGGGGCGTGTGCGTATTGTTGGTGTACCTCCTTCCATGTCTCTTTTTGGGTGCTGCCCAACAGCTGCTCCATCTGCCAGAAGACTCTCAATTCTCAGGACTATCTGGCCACCCACATCGAGACGGTGCACAACAAGGTGGAGAAACTCGACAAGGTGCTGCAGTTCCCCTGCTCCAAGTGCGAGCGCACCTTCAGCAGTGAGCGACGCCTGGCCAACCATCTCGCGAAGCACGACACGGCGACGCTGGAGCACATCTGCCACATATGCCATAAAAAGTATGCTCGAGACAGACAGACTCTCGGGAGTGAGACTGAGAGTGAGATAGGGAGCATCACGCATTCTAACCCCCGTTGTGTCCTTCTCTTTCGCTTTGGTGCCGCACAGCTTTGCCAATGTCCATCGGCTGCGCCGGCACATCCAGTCCATACACGAGGACCTGCACCGACATGTGTGCGACATCTGCGGCAAAAAGTTCAAGTTCAAGCCTTCATTCGAGCGGCATCTGCGCGAGCATCAGGGCGTAGTTGCACCGGCCATGCAATGCCCCGTCTGCGGTGTTTGGCTGAAGAACGAGCACAGTCTGCGGCTGCACCGCTTCACCCACGACAGCACCAACACGGCCTGTCCCCATTGCTCGAAGACCTGTAACTCGAGAACAGCGCTACGCGCTCACATCAAGTATGCCCACAAGCTGACGACCAGCTTCCAGTGCACGTACTGCGAGAAGACCTTCAAGCAGCAGCGCAACCTGGACGAGCATCTGGCCATCCACACGGGCCTCCAGCTGTACAACTGTCCGCACTGCCCCAAGGAGTGCCGCTCTCGGTCCAACATGTACGTGCACATCAAGCAGCGACATGCGGAGGAGTGGCTCACCGCCAAGATGGCCCGCTCCCACAATCCGCAGTTCAAGCCACACGCCTAATGCCCAAGCCTAGCTTCTATCTTAGTCTAGTTAGTCCACTAAATTATGCACTAAATACACGACACAAAGTAGCAGTATTAGCAGTCTATAAGACATTTTATTTCCTTCGTCCTTGAGACGCACCGTCCAACACCAGCATCATCTAATTGGAGCTGTAATGCTGGCCTGCCTGGTATTTGGTTGTTGCCAAGGAGATGGAAATAGGGATGGGGCTTCATGTACTATAATATGAACCACTGGATCGTCCGGGATTCAATTATTAATTAGGTATCTCAAAGATAATACTGGTAGGACGGCGAGTCACTGTAACTGGTTCCGCCCCTGTTTCAGTCCTTACCAAAACCATGCTTTTATTCCTGACAAAGTCTTGAAAATAAATCCCGAAATAAATCTCGGGAATAAAGCAGATCCGTATACGGAATTGACTTCTCTTCTCCGTTAATGTGATGGTAGACTAGGCACTTTTAAAGTATATGAAGGAGATCGCTCTCTCCCTCTCTGTACCTGAAATTTTGGTCTAGGTCTTCTCTGCCTCTCTCTTTTCTGCAGCAGAGTGAGCAAATTCAAACTCCATGTCATATGATCATCCACTTTCTTTCCACTTTATCAACTTGATTTCTACCTATGTATATTCGTTGACCCTTTTGAGCCGTTGAGCCCTCTCAATGCTCAAATGCTGAATTGGCATAACGTATTTATGGTACAATCTTGATACAAATCCACGTTCTGGCTGCTCAATATTTAGATCGGCTAACATTTTGTTTTTTAACTGTTTCTGTAGTCAGATTTTACCGCAAAATTAATAATTTAATTGAATCACTTCTATTAGTGTTTCTCCCCACGATCGTTTTACAGAGAACGTCTGCTCTGCATCAGATGGCACCACTGGCACTAATCGGATCGCCTATCGATACTTGTTGCATTGACACTACATTGACTGTATTTTATTTAATTTATGGCTGGAAAGAATACGCTGTGTTTGATAGTCGCATGGATTTGGGGAATAAATATACATATATTAGAAAGTATTCATATTTTTACCGTTGGCAACATTCAATTTGTATGGGCCAGACTCATGTCCCGAGGAATATGGGTTCCAATCCTTGAAGGAGAAATATTAACCCATTGTAAACCAAAGGTATTTTAATATTCAACCGAAAAACATTAAATTGAATAATTTTAGCGCAGTTCAGGTGAAAGAAATCGTGTTTTTTTTTTTAAATTGTGGGGATAGATGGATAGGATCTACAAGAGGAATATACAATCAGTAAAATGAGGGTCGGACCGTATACATAATCGGATTTTCTTATTTTCTTGCCACCATGTCACACACCTCGTAAGTTTTATACTTTTCATAGTATTTTCCAATATATTTTAAGACGCGTTATGGACTTACCCTCTTGACCAATGCACCAATGTAGAAACCGTATAGAAATGCCATTTATAGCCATGTCCCAGGCCATATCGAATACTAATTCGTGATCAGCATCGAGTGCCACCAAATCGTTTTGGTGATCGTTTGCCACCAAAATCTCAATTTGTTCAAAAATGTCGGAGGAAAGGCATGTCAGGCAGGTGTCGCTTTTGGTAATTACATTAAGATGTAGTTAATATGTAGCAAATGTTAGCTAGCGAGTAGTTACCATGTTAGGAAATTTTAGGGAAAATGGTTGTTGATTTGATTTGACATTATTTTATAAACAACGCCAGAAAAGATGGTACTTAAGATTAACCAATTTTATATAAAACTGATTAGATTATCGGGTAAAACTATTTGTTCAGGGCTGAGAGTGCTAGCTAGCTAGTAATGTTCAACCGAATATCAAAAACGAGGAATATGAAGCAACTCGGATACAAATAATATGTCAAAATGTTTACGGTATATTTTGAAATTTAAGACGTAGTTTCGGTATATTTGTGAGCGTCAGAACGTATACCGTATACAGATCGATAAATCCGCGGGTCACACTGATCCCAACCTAACTTTTTCATTTGGGATCCCTACACCCCCCCATCACCAAGGATTCAGCAAGAGCAAGATTGTGATAGAAAGAAAGCAGCAGCAGCAACAGCAGCCCAGCCAAGCAGTGCAGGTGAGAATAGCGAATGCACTTTGTGAGTTTCGGGGGGAGTGAAACAAATATTCTAGCGCTGCAACCGATAAGTGGTAGGTTTGCCGGCAGTACAGAAGCGCAGATGCCAAAAACAGTAACTGCAACAAGCGGCAAATGAGGAAAAAAAGCGAAGGCAGTTGCCAGTGCAATGCACACACTCGTTCGTATTCAGACGACAGGGTTTGCCGATTTTTTTGCTGCATATATGTGCATGTATCTGCATGTGTTTACTTGTGTGTGTGAGTGTGTGCGGTGTGTGTGAGTGCAGCAGCATAACTTGTTTGTATACGAAGTGTCCTCCACCAAGAATCTGCTCTCAATGCTGCCGAGTGAGATGCAGATGCTCTGAGGGGAGAGTCGGTCGGGTCTCTTCTGCCACCGGTCGGTCGAGCTGGCTGGCACTCTACTCTTGTTGCTGCCACAGCCGGTGCCGCCACCATTGTGGCAGCCGCTGATTCGGCGCATACCTACACACCAGCGTCCGATTCGCAAAAACCCCGACTCCACTCCATTCGACCCGACTCGACAGCGACAGCGACAGCGACTCCAGTCGAATCGGTTTTCGGTGTCGGATTTTTGTGTGTCTACCTCAATGCGAGGAAAATTTTCCAGCCGGCCGGTTTTTCATCTGCAGTTTTGTCGAACTCACAAATTATTGCAGTTCCCCCTTCAATAATTTGATGGTCACTATGGAGAACAGCGAGGAGATTCTACAAATCCTAGAGCGTTTCACCCGCCTCAAGCAGAAGGAGATACCCAAGGAGCTGGAGGACTATCTGCAGTATGTGGCCAAGACTGGGGACACCCTCTTCAAGTGGTCCAGCCTCAAGTATCTGTTCCGCGAAAAGCTGCTCAGCGTGATCAAGAACTTCAATGAGGACTCACCCCGGCTGGAAGGTAACGAGGTTCCATAGCCAGTGGTCAGTTTCACACAACCCATAACCCATGTCCCGTGTGTTGTTGTTCCCCCACACACAGAGATACCAAACTATCCGAATGTGGACCCCTTCAATTACGAGACCATGAAATCGTCGCTTCTGGAGCGGCTCGACCTGTTCAATGCGGCTCCCTTTACCGTGCAACGACTCTGCGAGCTGCTTATCGATCCTCGGAAGCAGTACTCGCGCATCGACAAGTTCATGCGGGCCCTGGAGAAGAACATACTGGGTAAGTGCTATGCCGAGATCAGGTTGGGATCTTCCGTCCACCTCTTACTCCTAGTCCTTGAACTTGCAGTGGTCAGCACCATTGATCCGGGTCGTAAACGCACGGAAAGCGAGAACGGCGACTCCCTGGACTCTGTGGTGAATGGTGACCTCTCCCTGGAGGTCAACATCGATATTGAAATGGAGAACGAGGCGGCGGCGGCTCACTTCAACAATGGCAAGGCCGGTGGTGAGGGCTCCAGTAGCGGCGGTGGGGGTGGTGCCGCCAAGGCCAGTTGCCCACGCTCGGACGGGGGTTCCATCCAGCCCAAGGCGAAGAAGGCCAAGCTGGAGTACGAGGGAGATGATGCCGATGCAGCCGCTGAAGATGAGGATGAGGCCGCCGAGTCCGAGCAGGCCGCCAAAGCCAAATCCGAGGACGCTGAGGATGATGCTGACGAGGATGATGAGAAGAACGACGAGGATGAGACTGATGCCGATGCACCCCAGGAGGCAGCCGAGATCGAAGAGCCCGACGAGGATGATGAGGATGATGTGAAGACTGCCAAGCAGGCTCTCAACGGCAGCAAGCAAAAGCAGGAGCAGGAGCAGGACGACGATGAGGAAGCATCCCCCGAGAGTGATCCCACTGGTGGTCCAGATGAAGACGACGAGGATGAGGCCGGCCTATCTCCTGAGGGAGCCGTCAAAGAAACTGCCGATGAGAAGGAAGAGGAGGATGCCGATGCCGATGATGCTGCCGATCCGCAGCCAGAGAAGATCATTGAGAAGCAGGAGATCGAAAAGGCTGAGAAAACAGGCAAGAAAGTCGAGCCAAAGACCAAGCCCGCTGCCGATGAAGGCGATGGCCTCGCTGAGGGGAAAAAGGGTGAAGCCAAGGCCAAGGCCGAAAAAGATAGTGATAAGGACGCAGACAAAGAGTCGACATCCACATCTACTCCCGCTAAAAAGGACAAGAAAGAAGGACAGCCGAAAACGGCCTCCACACCGGATCCCAAACAATCATCGGCAAAGAAGGCATCACCAGCTGGTAAGCCCGGCCAAGCCAATGATGCCGAGGGCACCGGCGACGTCAAGGAGCGGAATACTGAAAAGACTGAGACCGAACCGGCCGCTGGCAAGAAGCAGCCGCCGCCACCGGCATCGGCCGCTGCCGAACCATCATCGGAGTCCATCGATAATAAGAAAAAGGCCGACAAGACTGTCGAGAAAGCTTCTGAAGCTGACAAAGAGCTCGTCGAGCCCGTTGAGTCAACTGATCCAGCTGAGGGCGATGCCGATGCCGATGACGATGAGGCCGCACCGAAATCTCTCTCGTCAGCCATAGCTGACGATGAGCCCGCACCAACACCGCCAGAAGTCACCAAGGAGGCAGCCACCGCTGCCACACCACCAGCACTCGCGTTGAACGATCAGCCGATGGAGGACACTCCGGCCGATGAGGAAACAGCCGCAGCCTCTGTGGCCGACGGGGAGGAGGTGGTGATGTCCGAGGAGGCTGCATCCGCTGGCGGCGAAATGATAACTGAAGAGGCAGCCGTCAAGGATGATATGGCCGCCATGGAGGTGGATGACACCAGCCAGGAGGTGATGGACCAGTAAACCATGCCAATTCCAAGCGACTAATAACTACATACAACCGTACTAATCCATATACATACATAACTAGCATTATAAGACAAACCCTAACCCACAACCCCAAACCACATCTAGATCCTACATCTACTCGTACATCTGCATCTAAAAAACACTCTGCCACTCCTCAGTCGCTCAAATAGTATGTCTCTATCCTCCAATTAGTCGTAAGAGTAAAGTGAAGGGCCACAGTAGTATGCCCAAAACAACACTAGACGCCGATGAGCATTCCATCCCATTCATCATGTATCGTATTTCCTCCCATGTGTAACAGAACTCTTGACTCGCGGCTCACAGAATCTGTCGTCATTGTCGTATTTATATGTACTTTTAATGTATACTTCTTAGTCCAATACTCCGCGATATGCGTAGCTATCCGATATTCCGAAGGATACCATACCATGCCCTTTCTCTCAACCCTTTCCCTTACGTGTGTGTGTGTCCTGTGCCCTGTGTACTGTGTCCTATGTCCCGTGGGCAGAGTTTCCCCTGTGTCCCGTTTCCCAGCGCCGAAAGTTTTCCTTTTAGACTCTGGTAATCCAGAGGTTGTAGGAGCATTTCATGGCACGAGCCGTGGAAGTTGTGAGCGATTTGAACACGAAATAAAATATCTATACAGAATATATCGAAACTGTTGTTTCTTGTTTTACTACATTACTGGAACTATTCGTATCCCAGGCCATTTAGAGCGGTAAAGCATCGTTCAGCACGAAATGAAAACCATCACCGATTTCTACGTTCTGTAAACCATGTAAACTATCTTCTGCTCTGCAGTGGGGTATAAGATCTGCCAGATCTTGGGTATAAATTCTATGCAGCCATTGCCGCTTCTTTGGTATACAGAGGTGCTGGATCATCAGCATGGAAATGGCATGGGATGAGGTTTCTTCCAAGAGATGATCCTTCCGTCGTTGATACTGTATACGAGCTACAGCTTTGAGTTCTAGTTCTCCCCTTTTTAGGGCAAATGAACCCTTGGGTATAGATTCTGCATTCTGGAAACTCTCGCTGATATTCTGCTCTGATGAGCGAAATGAAAGGCATTCTTTCGATTCTTTGGTATTGGATTGTTAATAGTAGTCTGGTGGGAATAGGCAATAGGAAAGGGGAGGGGCTAGGGGGTATAGCAACAAGCAAACAACAAACAAACGTGCAAGCAAAGAACAACAACAAAGCGAACGGTACGACTCGATAATCATTTAGAAAATTAGATCAAATTTGTCTTGATAGCGTGATAAAGCCAATGGATGCCAGTGAGCCAGTGGGACGGGCCGGGCCCGGCGGCCGCCAAACTCCACAGCCGGTGCCGTGCCAGAGCTGGTGGCACGAGGCCGCGGCCTTACAACGAATGGATCTCCGTCTCCGATATCGATCTCCGGTCGATGCTAGCCACCGACGGCGCTCCGATGGCACTCCTGCTGCCAGCCAGGGCCAGGTCCAGGCCAGGGGCCAGGCGGGCGGGCGGGCCGGACGCTCGGCCTAGCCCAGCAGCACCTTGCGCATCATGAACCCGCTATTGGCGCTGCTCGCTGCACTGGTGCTCGCACTGGATCCGCGCGCCGGCTCCTCATGCTCGATGCACTTCGAGGAGCAGAGGTACTGCAGCAGCGGCACGCGGTACTTGCCGCAAAAGTCCACGAACTTGATGTGCTCCACGCGATTGTCGAAGAACACGCCCTTGCAGTTGGGGTTCACGCAGCAGTTGGCGCTGTTCAGGTACTCGGCCAGGGTCCGGGGAATGTCGTAGGGTCCGGGCCGCTGGCCACTAGCCTTCACAATGCGGCCAGCCAGCTCCAGCAAAGTTGGGGGCTTCAATGCCATGTCCTGGACGAAGCGCACCACCAGCGGATTGTCGCGCAGGCTCAACTGTTTAGGGGATGGAGAGGAAAACAAAGGAGAGCCATGGTTAGAGGACACATATTGCGGGGAATACGGGGAAACCTACCTCCGTTAGGTTCTTCAGTGCCACAATGTCCTTGGGCAAGTGGCGCAGCCGGTTCTTGTGCAGCAGCAGCGACTTGAGGTTCTTCAGCCGGGCAATGCTCATCGGCAGGTTCTCGACGAGATTGTCGCACAGGACTAGGGCCTGCAAGTGGCTGAGGGACCCAACGGCATCCGGTACATCGCTGATGAGATTGCCGCCCAACGACAGCACATGTAGGCTGCGGCGAGGAAGGGGGAAAATTAGTTCATGGAAATTGGGTATTCAGAGCCATCCCTATTCGCAACTATTCCTCTAAACCGGTATCATCTTTCAGAGCTTTCTTTGGTTTCAAACAAAGGAAAAACCACCAGGTGCTTTGAAACCTCGCCTTCTGTTTTTGTCAGTGTAAACAAAAGTCAAGCTGTCCCATAACGTATCGATTTCAACACTGCTTAAAGCAAGACGGCGAGACAGCGACAGAGACAGAAAGACTGATTAAGAGAGAGCAAGAGATTGCACAGTGTATTTGTGAAAGGTGAGGCACACACCGTCTACCATCTCCGCTTCAGACAAAGACAGAACTGCCTCAAATTCAAATAAATACACCCTTTGGCATGGGCATGGCAGAAAGATCTTTGGACTATTCCTTCTATGGTTCAACCACAGACCTCCACCCATACTATGACTCCCTCGCTATAGAATCTCCTCTTGCGTCACGCGCCATACAGCATTGCTCTTCTTCACGTACGTTCCCTGAGTGGAGTGGCATGTTCATTAGCAGGGTCCGTGTCCGAGTCCCGGAGCCCCCGCCGTAACCATCCGACTTTGCGAATTCCGCCACAAAGCTCGGGTAATCTGATAACTAATTCCAATTTCGATTTTTTAATTTGTTTTCCATTGATATTCGGAATTTTTTTTTGCCTGCTTTTGTTTATTATTATTGTATTAATATACGGGGTACCGTATATTTATGGTTCGACCAAATCGTTTTAGGTCCGAGTCGAGTACGTGTTTTCGATAGATTTGGCTTTTACGATGCCACCAACCACCCGACTAGTCGACTAGTCCACTCCTCCACTCCACTCACAAGTGCTTTGGGGCCCTCAGGGTGTTTGTTATCAGTTCTCACACGAAACACACGGACGGGCCTGATACTAGTTGTTTGGACTTTTCCCCTCTCTCTTTCCTATACGAACGGACGGACGGACGGACCGGACAGACCAGACCAGACGCCTGGCAACAGTGGCGTCTCACTGTCGCTGTTGCTGTCGCCCTCGTCCTCCCCCTCGCGTATGGCTTCAGTTGGGGCGTGGTCTATGATTGACATTGAGAATTTGCATTTATTTACCTTTGCATCTTCCAAATGTCCTTCGAGATGGCCGTGATCTTGTTGCCGCCCACATACAGATACTTGAGGTGGCGCAGCTCGGTGACCTGCTCGGGGAAGTGGGTCAGCTGGTTGCCGCTCAGGTTGAGCTCCTTGAGGGTGCTGTGGCCGTGTCCACCGCCAGCCTGCTTGGCCAGCAGCGACTTGGGCAGCGAGCAGTTGGTCAGCAGATTGTTCTTGGCGATCAGGGTGACCAGCGGCAGCTGGCAGACGGCGTCCGGCAGCTGGGTGATCGCATTGGAGCTGAGATCCAGCACCTTGAGGTTGGCGAACTGCTGCAGCACCCGGGGCAGGCCCACCAGTCGATTGTGGTTGAGTAGCATGGTCTCGATGTCGCCGCTGGACTTCAGCAGGGCCTTGTGCGGAGATGTCAGGTGATCCTCGAGAGTGGCCAGGTCGAGACTCATGCGGCCAAAATCGATGGTCTTTTGCTCTCGCGAGTCCGTGTCCGAGCTGTCCGACGTGTACACCTCCATGGCTGTGCTGGGCTTGGGCCTCCTTCTGTGCGTTCTGCGCGTTCTGTGCGGATTACTTGGAAAGAGTCGAGTGCGGCTAGTCGGCGCGGTCGCGTTGCTTTTTGTTTACGGATCTCAAAGGGAACTGATCGGCGATGCTGTTCTACGGCGCAGATCAACGGAAGATGACGATGATGATGATCTTTTCCAACGGAGACTGAGAGAAGCACACACAAAACAAATAAGAAGAAAAACAATCAAGAATATAACGACAGCGTCGCGATGTGTGAACGTGGATGCCCTGAGCTAACGTGACGCTCGCTCGCTCGCCCCAACCCAAATGAAATGCCAGCTGCCGTCGCTTGGAGCTGATCTTGGCGCTGTCCATCCAAAATTCGGTCGGCCCCGATCTCTCTGTTACCGCGTTCGCTCTCTCTCTACCTATCTCTGTGGTTCGTTTGCTCTCTGGCATTTTTGGCCAGCTCTCTCGCTCTCTTCGGTTCTTGTCTGGGTGCGCACGAGGCGTATGCGTAATAGCCCCATCTCCAGCCCAGGGGCAAAGGCAAGATTGCGATCATGAGCACGGGTCTGGGTCTGGGCCTGGGCCTGGGTCTGGGACTGGGCCAAAGGTAGGAGGGTTCCGTGGGTGGGTCAAACAGTTTTCAGTCCTGCCAATCGATCGTGGCCTTATCGGATCGATTCAGAGTTCTTTGTTCGAGTGCCGACCACAGAAAACTGTTCTGGGAATGTGCTATCTGTCAGTTGCATTCATTGGAATTGCATTCTCCTTGGGGCTCTAAAGGGGAAACCCATTGAAGATTTATTGTCAGATGAAGAAATTCCTAGAATGAGAGATGACTCCTCGACTCGACCAGCCGGGTACTTCGCAAACTTCACAAACGACTGTCTCAAGTCTTATATCATTCGACCACAGGCATCGGAACTCGTCCCAATGTTTTATGACACACTGATGCCCGCCCACCTGGCCCTCGATTGGGAGTGGGTTTCTCCTTGTTGGGGGGGGGGGGGGGGGCTGGGTTGGCGAAAGTTATCAAACGGCCCACTTGATCCGTGCAATAATCAATATATATTTACTCTCGACAATCGTTTGTTTTCGCTGTTTACTGTTTGCCTGTTGTTCGGTCGCTCGCTCTCCGCCTGACGTGCTGTACTTAGGATCGTTTAATCAAAACATCGCCCCACAGTCCCCGCTCTGTGCCTACCTATCAACTCTCCCAGCCAGCCGCCATCCCCTCCCCGTCTCTAGTCTCTAGTTCGGGCCACTTGTGCTTGTGGGGCCCCTTTGGCCGGATCCCCCTGTCCGCTAGTCCGTCGCCAGGGGCCCGGGCAACTGGGGCCGCACGGCGTGCAAATAATTGTTTATTATCGCGTCATTGCAACATTTCTGTAGCCGTCTCTGTGCTGGGACGAGCTGATAAGAGGCCAGCACTTGAGTATCAAAATCAGAGAGAGAGAGCCACAGCGATCACGGCTCGGGCGATAAACGCTGTCTCCAGACTGGGTTCTGGTATACCTACTCGCACCTATCTGTTTATAATTAAACCAATAAGTAATTTATGGATGGCTCAAACTCCAGTTTGAGACAATTTACAACTGCCAGGACTATAGCGAATCGAAGCAATGGAATCGACTGCCCAAACATAACAAAAGACACGATCGGACACGAACTTTGGGTCTGCACCCAAGACGTTGGATGCTGCTCCGGCACGGTGCTCGGGTATCATTTTTTGCACACGTTGCGAAATATTTTGGATCCAGTCTCTCAGTCTGTCAGTCGATCGGCGTGTGTGTGTGTGGTCCTTATCGCCCCGAATTCGCATTGGCATCAAAACAAAGCGGATTCAGCACTGATACTGATACTAGTTGATTAACTGGCGACATTTGATTTAGCTATTTCTGATTTCTGGGAGAGTAACACATGCAGGCTCGCACATGAATGGGCAAACACAGAAAAGGAGAGCCGAGCATTAAATACTGGCGACAATAAATCCGCATACACGGGGTTTATGCACGACCCCTAGGCAGTACGAACAATCTATATGTAATAATTAATGCTAATCTATCATCATCAATTATCGTTATCTGTCGCGCCGTCTGTTCGATTTCGTGTCGACTGTTATTCGACTTGTGTGCGGGGCTGGGGCTGGGGCTACGGCTGGGGCTGGGGCTGGGGCCACTCAAGTCCACAGATGGTGGCTAGCGTCTCACTTAAGTACCAACTGGTGGGCCGGCGATAGCCTTTGCCTTCTGTGATCCCCACCAAAGTCCCGCAAAAAAACCAAAGCCAAATCTGCTGAATCCTCAAACACCATATTTAGACGGAGCCGTTTCAGATTGCGATAAGTCTAGCCAATTTAATTATAGAGTCCACGAAGAGAGTACTCGAGGAGTACAGCTAAATAACATTTTCGATCTGGATAAGCGGTACTTCGGATAGTACTGCTACGTACGTACGAGTAGGCCATATGTACGGAACGGTCCGGATCGTTTGATGCAGATCCCCAACTAAATTTCATTGAAAGCGCACTGATATGGCAGATCAACATGAGTAAAAATGTATCTCAAAGATGCCAACGAGTCTGAAATATCATAAATGAAAAAATCGCAAGCAACATAAAGTAAAAGTGCTATAATACTTAATAGAGTATGCATTGAGGATTATGTATTTGAAAAGATGAAAAAATGGATGTACAAGTATCTGTCAAATAGGAGACTACCTCCATTCAATAGATAGGACATTTTTTCAGAGATAGGAATTGTGTGTCCCAGGCAAGAAGTAAATGTTTCTTGAAGACGTCAAACAAATGGCAAAAATTATCTCACGGACTATAAATATTCAGAAAAAGGTGTATCTGTAATTTATTCATGGCGAAGTTTCTGGATTTTATTTTTGGTTGTACTTTATTTTTTTTGTTATTTTTCTTTGTCACTTTTGGATGAGATATGTACAAGTATTCGTAGGATTTGTTATTCTAGGCGGGAGATCACAAATCGTGGTAGTAGAGTAATTTTATTGTTTTTCAGCCTAATGGTATGCACCACTTTTGGGATGTTAAGGTGTCTATAATAGAATATAGCCACTAACCATACAGTATATACTCGTAGATCTGCAAAGCATAGATGCTGTCAACAGCATTCAAAACATACAATCACATATTTGTGTTCAAACATATTATGTATGTTCACAGCGAACAAGATTTTCCATTTTACATACGAATCCCACTAATCGATTGCGCCCGCCCAAAAGCATGCAACAAAAGTTTGTTGGCTTCTGCTGTCTAGCAGCCGCTTCGCTGCCTACTTTTTAGCCTACTCAAGAGAGCGACTTCTGCGCTAGCCCAAAAGTATGCTTTGGCTTTTATTCCAGTTAAAATATCGAAATGCGAAATAATTTTTGGTTATTTTTATTGATTTTTGTTTTGTTTGTTCGCTATTTTTGGATTACATGTCACATATTTTACAAAGTATACAAAAAAAAAATAGTCCTTTATATAGTGGGGATTGTGAGCATAGATGTTTTTAGTTGTACATAACTATTAAAATGTATTGGTTAATATGTCGATATATGTATGTATGTATGTATTTTATTTTTAAGTTCTTCCTTACATGAAAAAAAGACTCAAGAAACCCACTAAATGCCTTTCGTGTATATTCTGATGGTCCGATGTGCATGCCAAGATTGATTGGATTGGATTGGATTGATTGTTGCTGTGATTGTGATAGTAATTGTAATTGAACTCTGCTTTTGGTCTCCAGGATGCGCCTCCCCACATGCCAGTGGCAGTGACATGTAAGTGAGGGGTAGGGGTGTGATTATTTTATTTACCGATATGATACGGTCGATTATAGAGTATAGATTCGTTCAGATGACTTTTATTCCATTCGGTTGTTTTGTGCAGTTCGGATCTCTACTCGCTAAGTGTTTATATATCGTATATTTTCTCGTATATAATATATATATATATTCATGTATATGTTTTATTCGTATTTTTCATAGATATATGTTTATTTATTAGCAAAAAAAAAGAAACGGATTGGTACAGGGATGGGTTGCCGGGTCTCGGATCCCGGGATGAGGAGGTTGATGATGATAAAAAAAACGACGCTTAACTCAATACTGTTGTTTAGTACACATTAAATGTTAACTAATTAATTAGCGTTAATTAGCTTTACTTACAGGCTACTAAGTATATTTTAATGTAATAATAATAAATTATTAATCAAATATGCTTGGTTAGTGAGCAAGATGGGGCAGGGCAGGGCAGGGCAGGAAAGGACACTGATTCAGATTCAGATTCACATTCAGATTCTGATGCTGGCTTCAATGTCCTGCCGGCTGTGTGGTGGGCCAGGCGATCTTGGCATCGATCCGCTTGTAGGCGAGCATACAGTGCTTGCCCTTGGCCGCCAGGCGGGCATCCTGCGGGCACTCGGCGTCGCTGAGGAGCGTCTCCTCGCCGTCGACCAGCTTGAAGAGGGCATAATCCTGCGGATTGGTGATCCGTGCCTTATGGGCAATAATCCGGCACACCTCGCGCGTGGTCGTGTGCGGTCGCACGGGCAGTGTTCGGGTCTGCAGCGAGCCGTTGCATTCATCCGGAATGATCACCCGCAGCACGCTGGAGCATGCGGGCAGGCAGCTGGAGCGCCACTGTGTGGAACGAAAAAAAGTAGAGAAGAGATTAGCTTCAAGCCACCCAAAATGAAGGGAGGTGTGTACTCACGTCTAGGGATCCGCTGCCGCTTTCGCCCTCGGAGGCCATGAACGTCTTAAGCACCTGGACGGCGCTGCAGAGGGCGGTGAGGTAGTAGCCCGGCTCCCCATTGAGCAGCGTCGGCTGGAGCAGGCCCCACATGAACTCGGCCTCAATCTCGGCCCCAACAAAGCCGCACTTGGCCACCACATAGACGAGCACGGGCAGGAAGTCGTCGGCACCCAGCTGTTGGCCGCGGGGACAGCCCGTGGCATCGAACACCGTCGATATGACGCACAGGAAAAGCTCAAGCTTGTCCAGCGGCAGTTCCGCCTCCTGCAGGCGCAGCAGCAGGTTCGCAATCAGTCGCAGGGCCGTCTGCGAGGGCGGGGTGACCGTGGGCCGGATGCCAAAGTCGGCCGCCTCACGCTCGCAGGCATAGCGCACGTTCTGGACCAGCAGCTGAATGTCCTCGCTGCGCGTATAGTAGTCCACGAAGATCCCGTAGAGATGCTCGCGCAGCGGCAGCACCACCAGCTGGTGCATCACCGTCTCCAGCATGGCGTCCAGGTTGAGGAACTCGTCGGCCTTCAGTCGGCCGCGGGCCGACTCCAGCTCGGCATGGAACTTGCCCTCGCCGTGCTTCACGAGATAGTTCTTCATGCCGCTCATGAACTGTCGCATGTTGCGCATCACCACCTGGGGCGCCGCCTCGCGGGACTCCTTCGTGCAGCTGATGAAGTTCTCGATGTTGCGGGCAAAGGTGGAGCTGGGGTCCTGGGCCAGCTGGAGCGTGTACGCGCGCAGGGAGTCGCCGGGGCCGCTGCTCTGAATGTTCATCTTGTTGCGGGGGTGACCTGCAAGAAAGCAATTACAAGGATTAGGATTTGGCATTAGTTCGCCTCGCCCATCGCCCATCGCCCATCCCTGAACCCAACCTCAATCCTCCCTCCACTGGAATCCCTGTCTTACCAACGATTAGCTCACACAGTAGCCGGAGCAGGCGGCGCAGGAGATAGCAACAGCCACGTTTCCGGCAATAGTCCTCATCGGCGCACTCGCAGCCCCGGCGATAGCGTCGATAGAGACGACGGCTCTGGCCCTGGAGGGCCAATCCCCAGGCGCGGAACTCCACGATGTGCGTTATGTTGAGCAGAATATTGCCCCGCTCGTCCAGGTGGAAGAACTGCTTGATGTCGTAGTGATCGCAGGTGTTGAGCTCTCCAGGATGACAGCTGTCCGTGTCCCTGTGTAGCTCTTGGGTGCTGGTTACGGCGGGCGGCTCCGCCGTGGGATTGGGGCATTTGCCGATGGCCCCCATTATGGAGCCAGCGAGTGCCTCAGTCTTTAGTTGTGTGCGATTGATGCGGCAGTCTTTGAGCACCTGTTGCGGACAGGTGGCCGTCGTGGTGGCCGGCCCATGGGGCGCCAAGGAGCCGCTGCTGCTGAGGGACAGGCTGCTGCTGGCATATTTCGACTTTTTACAGAGCACGGAACTCGGGGACGCCTGCTCCTGTCCCATGCCCTGGCTGGGCAGTGCAATCCCCGTCTGAATGTTGTCGACAAAGAGCAGCTCCAGGAACTTGCGCTTGCGTCTGCGCTTTGCTGGCTTTTCCTTTATTTCTATGGAGTCCAAGCCAGAGCCAGGCAGATCTGATTGCGACTGCGACTGTGGCTGAGTTCTCTGCTGCAGCAGCTCCTCCTCAAAGTCCGCGGAAAAGTAATTCCCCTGCGGCGGATGCTCGATGATCTCCCACTCGGCCATGATGCTGAGGAACATGGCCTCCTCCTTGTAGTGTCGCACATGGTCCGGATCGTGAAAGAACTCCTCCGGCTCCAGTCGCTCGATGCGCTGCTCATCCAAGCTGCTCAGCGATTTCGACATGTCTGGTTTACCATTCACATTGCCATCCTTGTCTTTGTCCTTATCTGTATCCTTATCCTTATCCTGATCCCGATCTGATTCCGATTGGCTCCCGGTCTGTGCACGCGACGATCTTCTGAACCAGCTCATGATGGATTCTCAAGCGATTTTTGCCAGCTAATACGAATTGGCGGAAACGCAGGTTTCTCATCGGCACACGCGAATGCAGATGCAGATGCGGATGCGGATCGATTGGCGATTGTGTTCCAACTTGGCCTCTGTCTATCGATAACGGGCGGCGTGCTCCTCTGTACCGCTTTCTCTTGGATTCGCTTCTCAATTGTAAATCTCTGTGTTCTGTGTTCTCTGTTCTCCGTTCTCTGCTGTTGCTGCTGCTCTAAACGCGCCCAATGCAAAACTAATTCTGAACTTCATTTGCATTAGTTTATAAGACCGCAACGACGTCGACTGCGGCGGCAGCGGCAGCGGCATTGGCAGCGACCGCGACTGCGACAGCGGAACGGCGCCGTCACGGACTGCACTGCCCGCGGGTCTACCGAACAAAAGATAGCAAAAAGCCAGCCTCCTACAGCCCGCTCGCTCAGCCCATATCCATTCTATATACTCGCAATGCACGCGGATAATTTCTTGTAATCTCCTTTGCAGGTAGAAATTATGCAAGATCTGATCCTTTTCCGGGAATTTCCGGTTGCTTTCCAGCCCCCTTTTGTAGGTACAGTTGCGCAAGCTATCGCCGCACGGCCTCTGAGTCGTCGCCGAGGATGCCATGACTCAAGTGGAAATCGGGGGCAGGCCCCAGCCCCAGTATGAGCCATCGACCGGGGTGAATCCCAGTCCCAAGTCGCCCGAAAACCCACTACAATCCAAGCCAAAACAATCATTCTGACACGTGTTCGGCCAGGGACTGCAGGTAGTGATATTTTTGCCCATTCCGAGTACCTGTGCCGCTTTTGCCAGTCAATGATTGAGCCATTTCAGGGTGTCGGGTAGATCTCAACAGGTTAGTATCTGTCGGCCACTTCTGTCTGGCTTATCAGGGCCCCTACTTTGCATAGACACGCTGGCTGGCCCGCTAGGAGTCGATTATGTTCGATGCAGTTCGATTCTGTTGTAATGGAACGCTTGAATTGCATCAGCGTTTTAGGACTTGTGTCTGATGCGCAATTCGGAAAGACCTTAAAAATTTGAAATGGAGGTTTATAGGTTAGGGTTGAGGGTACAGCCCCAGATGAAAGGCATTCCATGGTCTTCCTGCTGGAGAGGGAGAGACCTTGGTGGGATCAGTGAACCCCGTGGATTTATTTTTTAGTAGATTTTCCTAAAGATTTACATATCTTATCATGGCGTTCCCACCTTTGCCAGCCCAATTCGCGGCTATAGGCTTTTACAATGCCCAAAACCAAACAAATGGCACTACAAACGCCAGCAGAACGCCAGCAGAACGGCAGCAGAACAGCGACTGCGACCGCGACTCTGTTGCCCTTTTTAGCACGTGTGAATTGGGGTGGACCGCATAGAGTGAGTTTTAAGATGAGACCATAACCAGAACCAGAACCAGAACTAGAACCAGAAATAGATTTCGCGCGGCCGTCTGTTTGCATTTCATCAGTTTGGATGCCTTTGTTGTCTGGACGATGGTTTGTTTTGTTGCTGTTTGCCATACAGTGACCCAAAAATAGATGCCACTTCCACATTACACACGTGTACACACCAGCCAGGCATGCGTGTGTGCACTATATACACACACTATATCAATTACGCATCCCATTCAGACAGAACTTCACTCAATGTTCGGAGCGGTAAAAATCGCGCACGCTGATAAAAACGAACGAAGGCGGCATCGGTTTACATTCCAAAGTGCGAGACGCGGGCAGAACTGCAGCAGCGCAGCGTCGCGCCGCTCTCGGACTCTTACTCTCTTTCGCTCTCTCTCTCTCTCTCTCTCTACATACGAAAACTTATCAAATTTTGTTTGGTTTCTGCCAGAGCGGGCGGGCTAACTGCGACGCAGAAATAGTCACTGCGGACATCGCTGGACATCGGCATCGGCATCGGGATCGGAATTGGGTTCGGCCTCAAAGTCGTTGCGCGGCAGATAAGTTTCGGCAAGGCTTTGTAGTCTGCTGCTACTGATGCTGCTGCTTCTGCTGCTGTTGCTGCTGCTGCATTGTGATAAGCAGCGATGTCGTCGCTGGATTCCAGTTGGAACCGGCGGCGGCAGGCGATGGACAGAGCGGAGGGCAGAAAAAAGAGTTGACGATGCGGGTCCATACTGTACTGTACTGCACTGTACCATCGGCAAAGCGGTCAGGGCTCACGTGCTGCGACAATACGATACTCAGCCGAGTACTGATCTGCATATACGAGTTATCGATGAAATATCGAGGGAGAGAACCCCCCTCAACTGATATTCATCTTCTGAAAACCCTAGTCATCGGTGCGTCAAAGAGTACGCATTCATTTGTTGTTTGTTTTTGTTTTCCGCTGTTCCGCTGCTCCGCTGTTCCGCTGCTCCGCGAGTGTTCCCCGTGCACTCAATCGATCCAATCGATCCAATCGATGACGATGACGATGCCAGCAGCGGCTACAATCAGCGGGCTCGTGCTTTTGTTTAGTCAACTTCTCAAATTGTCCATGGTGGCCATGGATGGACGTTCCGTTCTGTTCTGTTTTGTTTTGTATGGATTGGAGCGTATGATGCAACAATAACAACTGATTGCAATTGAGCGTGATCTTACTATTGTCAGCGTAGAGTGTAGTCATCATCATCATCGTAATACTAAATGCTGTAAACTCGTATATATACTATGTACATTACGCACACGAGACGACGATGAATGCGAGACGAAGGTGCGTGGATGGTCCGGTCCGATAAGAGCTCAATCGAGGGGTATTTCAATCTGAATTGACACACATTTGCTTTGAGATTGTCTCCTTAATGTGGAATGGTGGAATTTCCAGAACCATCACCTATTCAGATTAAGATCTTTGTAGAAGATCATGAAGCATCATGAAAGGTAGATTTTAATATGAAAAGAGCCAAATATCAACTGGTAATATAGAAGGCATCTAACGAGATGGTTCCATGAACCAATTTCATTTCATAAACTTTGGATTCAATTCTAGTTGGTGTTCAGAACGTGCCCACCCAAAAAACCTATCGAATCTGGAACCGAAGATGCTGAGAAAAGGAATTACTGGTCGCTCAGCTTGTGGCAGTGAAAGTTCCGCTCGTAGCCGGCCCGTGTGATTTTGTATTTTGTTATTGGATTCTGGGAACCGATTCAGCGCTGGGGCAAGCTGATTCTTTGATCAGCACATTGTTGAATTTAGACAGATTTCATTTCGTGCCAGGATGCGCAGGATCCCAGGGCTGTGATAGGTAATGGTCCGAGTCTGAGTCAGCTTCAGTTGGCTGTATCCTTGGGTGATCCGTGATCCGTGATCCATGATTCTCCGGCAGCGTTTCCGACTCACCCTTAGAAACCCCCCGCGCTTCCCATTGCGCTTGATACCCTCAGCAAATACTCACATAACACTTCACGATCCCGATCCCGCATGCTCGGATTCCTCAGAATGGTGGCCACTTTGGGTCGACTGGTGGCCTTGCCGCTGCAATTGTTGTGGTTGTGGTGTCCAGCACCGTTCCTGTTGGCCTTGAGCGTGTCCTGGTTGCAGCTGCTGGTGCTGCCGTCTTTGGTGCTGCTGAGTTCCTCGACAATGGTATCGTCCTCGGACAGGGCGGGCCTGCACTTGGACAGATGAATGGTGTCCGAATTGAGGGTGGTGTCTGTGGGGGCACAAGCAGATTAGATGGGGCCTTAGATACACCTGGGGAGCCACTCACCGTCATGGGGAAGGAACGAGTCCCACTGGGACGAGTCCCAGGGCTCTGAGAATATGGTGCCATCGTCGGACTGGGCCGAATCGATGCCACCGAACATCGAGTTCTGGCAGAAGACATTGTCGTACGAGGAGAGGCGACACCCGCCGTTCTGGCTCTGGAATGACTTCTGGCTGCCGCTGCCCTCCTTCTCCTGGCCCTGGACCAGCGGCTGTAGTGGAGCAGTAGCGGTAGCGTTAGCGGCCATCGTCTGCGGTGGCGTCGAGCAGCGCACCAGCTCCGGCAGATTGAGGTCCGGCAGTCGCTTGGCAATGATCTGGTGGACCGTCAGTGGCGACCTCTTCTTGCCCTGGCCCCCATCCCTTTCGCGTCCCAGCGAGTTCTCCTTCTCCTGCCACTCGTGCACAGAGGCGTCGTATGCCTCTCCTGCCGTGTCCTGCTTGGCCATAAACTCCCAGCTGCTGTCCAGCTGCCAGTGATCGATGCGATTGCGTGGCCGCTTTGTCGTTGGCTGCTGCTGCTGCGGCTTCTGCTTCAGCTCGTCCAGGCTGCCGGCCAGCTTCTCCAGGTCGCTGGGCAGCAGCAGAGCGGCCGTCGTGCCACCCAGACCTCCCTTGAGCGGCTCCGAGTGTCGCTGGTTGGCGTGCATCACCTGGCTGCGATGCTGGCGCCGCAGTATGGCCGTGGCCGCACTGGTCACGCCCGCCTGTCGCAGTGCATCCGCCGGCTCCGCGTAAAAGGGACTGCCCTGCTTGCTGCGCGATCCCGGGGTCTGTGCCGCTGTCGGGGTCGTGTCTCCGCCATCGTCCGCCGGCTCGGTTAGGGACTGCGTCATGGCTGGCGGCACCGCTGCCTGCCCGCCGGCTAGGCTCAGATTTGTCAAGAGCAGGCCGGCCCGAGAGCGTGGCGGCGCATCGCCCGAGAACTGCAACAGCTGCTGGCTGCTGTCCTTGGCGATGGTCTCCTCCTCGCACGGCGTCAAATGCGGCAGTGTTTGGGCTGTGGGTGTGCTGGCTAAGGATAGAGAGAGAGAGGTAGATAGTTAGAGAGAGAGAGAGAGCGGATAGACGGGCGCCACTTACGTGTCTCGGCCAGCAGATCGGGTCGACGGTTCATCACCCCTGGGTGGTCCTGGGGCGTTGGCTTGAAGCTGGTCAAGAGACTGGCCCTGTCGCTGGGATCGTGCGACCACACATCCTCGTAGTCGCTGATCTTGTCGCTGAGGGCGCTGGCGCAGTACTGCAGCGGGGGGCTCTCGAGTATGTCCGACTCCTTGTAGTGCTGTGACTCCTTGCCGGCCCGTGATTTGCGCGACTTGCCACCGCCACCGCCTCCGCCGCTGCTGCTGCTGTTGGGCGTCTGCGGCGAGAGGATCTTCCTGTGGCTGGAGTCGCGGCTCGAGTGCAGCTGCCAGCGGCTGTCGTTGGTGGAGGAGGAGCCCTGCGAGGACAGCGTGTCCTTGCACTCGCCCTCGGGCGACAGGCGCTTGGAGAACGTCTGGAAGGTGGCGGCCTGGCCATTGAGCAAAGCGTTGAAGGGGTTACTGGAGGCGGGCGTAGTCACCTCCACAAACTTGCCCCCGGTGCTGCCTCCGATGCCACCCCCTCCTACGCTGCCGCCATTGCCGCTATCCATCGAGAATGTCACGGTGGTGGTCACCGTGAAGTTACTGTTCCCATTACTCAGCTGATCCGGCGAGTGGGGCTTGGACCAGCGCAGCGGTGGCGCCGGCGGCTTGAGATTCAATGTGTTCGGCGGCTTCGGACGCTGCGGACGCACCTGATCGACTGTCCCGACTGTCCCTGCTCCTCCCGTCTCGATGGGCAGCACCTTGAAGGTGCTCATCTGCTGCTGGCCGACGGCTGCCGCCGGCCCGGCCAGGGGGCTGGAGACAAGCGTTGGCGGCGGCACGCCTGGCGGCAGATACGCCCCGGCTGGCCCCTGGCCCTCCACGGGCGACATGGTCAGAATGACCGAGTCCACGGAGTTGGGGCTCAGCAGCTGCATGTGCTGGCCCCCGCTGGTGGTGAACGAGCTCATGCTGGAGTTTGTCGTGTCCGACGGAGTGCCCGCCTGGCTGAAGAACCCCAGGCTGCCGTTTCCGTTTCCGTTGCCATTGGCGTTCCCGTTCCCGTTGCCGGTCGCACCGTTTGCCGGGGGCTTTGGGGCTGCATCGCTGAAGAAGGTGGCCGTGCCCAGGCCGCTCGTCTCGGTGAGGGAGAGCGGCGACTTGGCGTCCAGCAGCATCATCAGCAGGTCCTGGGGCGTTGCCCTCGCGGGACCCACCGGCGTGGGCGGACCCAGGACGGCGGGACTGCTGGCATAGCTCCAGAACTCCTGGCCGAGCAGGGCCAGCGAGGAGAGCTTCTTGCGATTGTTGGCCTCCCGCAGCACCCGCGGCAGCCTCAGCTGGACGGGCAGCTCATCGCAGCACTGGGCGTAGTGGGCGATCAGTGCCGGTATCGACGCGAACGTGAACCGCGAGCTCTCCAGGCTGAGGACGTTGTCGTGCGACTGGATCAGATAGTGCTCGATGTAGGGGCCCGTGTCCTGGGGCAGGCGCACCGACACGGCCATCGTGTTCGGCTGACTGGAGCCGCGCACAATGAACGTCTGCGAAGTGGACAGAAAAGTGCCGAATGAAAGTGAGTAATATCCAGAGAATTATTCAACAGTTAAGTGAGTCTTTTGCGTTAAATGTTGCGTTCACAATTCGCCCATAAATTCCCACTTATGGATGATAAATCTACCCTCCCTGTGCCCCTGTGTGCCCCCACCCCCTGTTGGCATTCCATTGCATGCAACAATGACTTCCTCTTCGTCTGCATTCCCTGCTCCCTTCTCTCCGCGCCACTTCGTGTTGGAAAAACTTTGCAGACGCTGCGACAAATCGCGAAGTTGGCGCTGGCCTGTGGCAAGGGATGCCCGGCCAAGGGATGGCATCTTGAGCATCGAGAGACCTGGTCAAGTGTGGCCAGGACCGTCCGGACCCGACCCGCACCGCCCCGCCCCGCCCAGCCCTGCTGCTAATCGTCTGTGAAAACTTTTCATAATGAGAATTGTACTTAAAGTCACGCACAAAGACCCAAGAATGGCCATTCCCGAATCCAAAATCGCCCCCAATTCACCCTGGGCCCGATTTTGATTCAAGCCACAAAATGTTATCCCTACAAAGATTCGTCGATTCAATTTTATTAAAAGTTAGCCAGAATCGAAGACGATTTGCCAGCTCTACAAAGTCTTAAGATGGTTTTCAAAGTGCTATCCTTCAGTTCCATCTGCACTATTCCACCTTCAGATGGGTTGTTGCGATATGATATTTATAAGTAGGCATTTACTATCTTTAATACATCCTATGAAACCTTTTAATTACGTTCTGAACCGGTTGATTTATATGTAAAAGAACTGTTTGTTTCCCTAGATATTCCTTCGTTCGAAATTGTAGATTTTTCCAGGCAGTTCCAAGTTATTTATACGTATTATAAGCCAATCCGCTTAGCCCTATGTACCACCTTTAAGGGTCGTATAACCCAACTTTAACTCCCTTTTTCATTTCACCTTATCCCTCAAGCTAATAGCATGTAATATTTACCATCACCTAAACTTAACAAACTTGTAATTTCTCTTCTTTAATGATATTCCTGCTTATCAGATAATTGTTAATTAATAAATAAATATTACAGTCCAACTTTGAAGTCGAGGCGTAGAATATTCGTAGAATATATGTATCATTGCAGTGTTCTTTATATAGAAAATTTCGTTCTTTGGAAGTTTGTAATAGAGGAAGTTCGAGTCTTCTGAATTTAGGTTTTTTTGGGATTCAGTAAGGCAGTAAGGCATCCTTCTAAGGATGGCCATGTGTTTGTAGGAATACAAAACCAAAGTTTCCAAAAGACTGTATGCTTTCTACTGCTTATGCTGGCGGGTAGTTCCTGTGGCACTATTTTCATCTGTGTGCTGGTCGAATGATCGCCTTAGAGCATGTTCGAAGCGAGTCTCTTAGAGGTGGATATTTAGAGCGTACATATTGGTTCAGCAAAGCGGGCTTTAGGCGGGCTTCAGGCAGGCTTCAGGCGGGCTTCAGGCGGGCTTCAGGCGGGCTTCAGGCGGGCTTCAGGCGGGCTTCAGGCGGGCTTCAGGCGGGCTTCAGGCGGGCTTCAGGCGGGCTTCAGGCGGGCTTCAGGCGGGCTTCAGGCGGGCTTCAGGCGGGCTTCAGGCGGGCTTCAGGCGGGCTTTAATCGGGCTTCAGGCGGGCTTCAGGCGGGCTTCAGGCGGGCTTCAGGCGGGCTTCAGACGGGCTTCAGGCGGGCTTCAGACGGGCTCCAAGTGTGATCGAACATGTTGTATCATGCACAATGTTGGCGCACTGATCGGCTGGCACGTGCCGCGGCCTTCGGCATCTTTGGCATCTTCGGCTTCGGCTTGCCATTGAAGAGGAATTAAGACGGAAATGCTTTCGGGGCGAGAGCTTCTCAAGTGGTTTTTCCCTCTCCTCTCCGCTCCCCTCCGCTCTCTGCTCGGCTCTGTCTCTCTTTCTCTCTTTGTCTGTCGCCCGGCAGTGCATTGTTGTGTTTGCTTTTCAATTTCGCAGCAACGCAGCAACCCCAAAAGCATGCAATTATACGTGTAAGTATACCCCCTCCCCACTCTCCACTCCCCCCGCCACCCCTTCACAGTATTCGTATTATTCTCCTGTATATATGTATTTATGGAAGTATGTATAATTTTTTGTTTCCCTTCTTGAGATTTCAATAAATGCCAGGGCACCCGGGGGTTCGGGGGTTTCAGGGGGTGCACCCTGCGGCGTTGTTTATGATTTCTGTGCGAGTGGTGCACAATTTTTCAATAAGCAGTTGAAAGAAGATGATTCTCTGGGATTCCTGTGCCCCCATTACCCAACCCCTACCCCTACCCCTCCCCATTCCCCTCCTTCACAATGAATCGAGTGGGGTTCATGGGGGGCTCTAAACATTTGGGGTTGGATTGTTGATTTGATTTAGCTGCAACGTTTTTAAAGCATACTTTTTCGGGTGGCTTTCTGATTCCATTACAGCCACAGGAAGCCAGAGGAGACAACAGTCCAGTGCCGAGCATTTTATACTGATTTAATAATGCGGTCACAAAGGCACCATCGCTTGAAGGGGAAGCCGTGTCCATCGAGAGTTTGACCATCAGGAAAATGCAATTTATAGAAATCACGAAACAGGCAGACAGACAGACAGACAGACAGCGAGACAGAGAAGGAGGCACAAAAATTACCGTAAAAATGCCCTAACAAGATGGGAGACAAACAAAAATGAAAAAAGGAAAGGAAAAATCCAATGGAAAGCAGGAGAAAGCGGCTTCAAGGAAAGTAAAACGTTGGCAGCCAAAGGATAATGCACAAAGGTTGCCCAAGGATACTCGGATTCTAACACAGACAGAGACAGAGACAGGGAGAGAATGAGAGAACATACAATTGTCAGATACAGTGCGTTTCAGTAAGGTTAAATGATGGGCACGTACCCATCGTGCTACCATCGCTCCGAGATAGATTCGTCGGCAACCGACTGAAAAGTGCCAAAGAGCATGCCCGAGAATGCAAAAACATAGTACATGTCGTGTGCATGACGGGGCACATAGATTGCAGTTCGATTCGAGACAGAGAATGCAAAAACCAAGTACATTTCGTGTGCATGACGAGGCATATTGCTTCTTCTTGCTGCTATCGTGGCTGCCTCTCATGAACCTCTTCAGAAGTTGGACAGTGAACTCAAAATATATTTACTGCGTAAATATTTATTGTACTGCCTTTCCTTGTCTTCTCTACAGCGCCTTATAGTTTTCGCAACGCACTGTAGCAGTGCGTATGCAGTGTGGGATTGAGTGTTCGGCATTCACGAATGTGTCTGAGTGCCTGCATTTTATTGGCTCGAATTGACAAATTTCATTTGGTGACCGAACAATAAAAAGGCGTTACGGCATTTGGCCACAGAATACACACCCAATATATCATTTATAAAGATACATATACAATATGCAGCCGTTTATATTATATGTTAGACGTGCTTAAGTATTTCCATTGGTTTTAGCTGCTCTGAAAGCGACTTCCTTTCCCTCAAGGTGTACAGGTGTACGCCTTTTATGTGCATTCCATTTTGCAGACGCTTCCATGTGAGAGGACTCCTCTTTTCTTTGCCATTTGCCCATTGCCATTTGTATGCTTTTAGGCATCGTCTGGCGCATAAGAAGGCCCAAGGAAGGCCTACAAATGCATTTTTGCACTCTGCAGTTCATTGACTCCTTCAGCCAGCCAGCTCTGGGTTCGGGTCCGGGTCCGGGTCCGGGTCCAGTTCCTGTTCCAGGTCCTGGTGTGCACTTTTCCCCATCACCTCGAATGAATGCGGTTTCGGTGACCGCAAAACACACACAGAGCCGACGCCTGGTTTAATTTCCTGCTTGCATTTCAATTACCATGTCCATGGGATTTGCACAATTGAGGCAGAGATGCGGCAGCCTATTCGTCCAATAAGTCTGAGACTTCAAGCAGCAACTGATTAGGAAGGTCTTCAATTATTTACCAACAAATCAGGTGATTTCTAGGCGGAATCGTGTTAGTTTTTATCTAGTTATATTCATACGTCTATAAATTCTTAAGTAAATCGAAAGAATGGCTTCCGGATCAGAGGGTTTCCGTATGATTCGTACCATTCGTTGTAGGAATAGGGAGGGATATTCGTTTCGAGCTGAAAACTGATCGAAAACTTGTTTGATTTTTAAAGAAAATTTAATTAAAATTTAAGTTATAAAACTTTTTAAATCTTTAAATTCTCTTGGAAATTTTGTTTTAATAATCGTTTCACGGCTGCTACATATTGCCAAGATTAATATCAGGGATCAAAAATAAAAGTTAAGGGTTCAAAAAGGGTTCAAAAAAAAAAATATCCTAAATAAATAAATTTTTTTTAGATTTTTGTTGTTTTAATTTAAGAATTCATTTCTGCTGAACTTTTTGTTTAAGCTTTCTTTTAGATATTTTCATTTGCCTTTCTCCCACTTTCACTCACTCTCTCTCGCTCTCCCTCTCTCACTCTTTGCTGCCGTATAATCATTTATCTCTTTGCATTTATTTTGCATTTAATTGCATGTAAATTATTGTGCAATGGCCAGCACATGCCGCGTAATGTTCGCACCTCACTCCACCTCTTGGCCGACCCCAACACTTGGAGGATATCCATCTGAGCCGAGACCTCGTCGAGGATTCCCTGCGGCGTTGCAAATCAGACACAACAACAACAACAGCAACACACGGAGAGAGACAGAGGGAGAGAGAGAGAGAAACATATCCAAAATAATAAAAACGATTCGTCGCATTTGCAGCCATTTCCGGGATGTTGGACCCATGCCCCCCACCACCCATTCCCCTTAGCAATTGTCACTTGTGGCAGGGTATACGCGATGTGTGGCATTGATACATAAGGGGTGGGGCGGGGGCGGGGAGGCAACAACATTTCCGGTTTCCATTTCTCGTCGCGTGCCTTGGGGCCTGCATTTTCCCCAGAAATGTCCGCAGTGTCCTCTCGACCCCTCTCTCTACACGGGAACTGGGACCATCTTCTTGGCCAGAAACACCC